ATATGGCATACAACAAACAAACCAAATCTCGCTTCCGTTACATTCTCACGCGAAGCACTTTATCGCAATCAAAGTAATTGATATCAGCGTCTAACACTAACGGTGATGCAGAACACAATGTAATCTAGACTCACCACAATATTCTATAGCGCGGTTGTCTATGGGACGTTATTTATCGCTTGATTGTTATCGCTCACTAATATAATAGGGCCCTATGTTGTGGCCGTTAAAGGAGCATCTCCCAGGCCAAAACTCAAACAGCAACAGAATGGCTGATTTATTTTTAATCATATTTCAGACAATATTTTACAGTCCAACCCGAAAAGTACTGTAATAAAATTAGATAGGAGTCTCTCAATTATGAAAGTCATTCAATTGCATCAATTATTTTGGTCCTTCGAGCCGGTAAATTCATGTTTTGCTATTATTATGAGAGCTCTCACGTTATTACGGTATCGGAACAAAGCGTTAGGACCCCATACTTTCCATAATTACAGTGCTAACGATGTCGGCAAAAGTTACCGGCAATTAGGGTGGAGAGTTCGACGTTTGGACAGTTGTGATGACAGTTAACGGTCGTAGTGGAATAACTCAAATACGCGTAATGTTGGGGGGACAGGTAGTCCGGAATCTCGAAACGTTTTATTAAGGTGTAAGAGGGGTAAAATAGCGCTCAAATATATAAATAAGGGTCCAGGGCTTAAATATTCTATAGTAAATAGTCCGTCAGGGCGCGGAAGTCTGATCGACTATTTCCTTGCCATTAAATGTAGATCAAACGTATAGATGTTTGTCGGCCCCATGCCCCACTTGACGGAAACACAATTTCGCACGCTAGCCATACTTAAAATTGGTCTAGCCATTTCGAAAGACGACATTTGCACCAGAGATAAACCACACAACAGTAACAAAGAGTTTGCGATTGATGGGTAATTTATATTAAAACATAATTTTGTCTAAATCAGGTTAACATCGAAAGTCTCGATTGAAATCCTTATACGGTTACAAGTAATCTCACTGCACCATGCTATGCAATTTTCTATGCAATGTTTTGCGCATTGTTTGTTAATCTGCTAATCGTCACGTAATTATGAAACTTGCGACTCTGTCAGTCAATTGTTATTTGTGACTATTATATTTATATGGGAATGTTTTCTACTTTGAAAGGTATAGGTCAAGTTGCAAGAGCTTGATTATAAAACCAGGTCTAACATTTGTGTAATCAATTTATATTTTTTCTGAAACATGCTTGCAAATCTAAATATACCGTCCAAGTCACGGGAGAACGCCGTGAAGTGTATGTCGATTAGTCTTTGGATTTCCGAATATCGAAAAGAAAAATAGGTCGACAGCGCGTATTGCTTAGATGTTATATGTCTGGGTTTTCCACTTTCTATCAAGTAGTAAACCCCCATGCTTGTGAGGAAGACCTCTATCATAAAAAAAAAGTTAAGGAAATATTTAAATATTTTTCTGGTTCCGGCTAACCCCTGTCATGCTGTGTCTTATGAACCGTGATAGAGTTTTAAAATATTGAAAGCACAAATAAATACAAAACAATCTATAGTTTTTTTTTATTTTCATACAAATTACTACTTTAAGTATATTTTGTAGTATCTATACACCTTAGTTAGTTTTTATAAATAATTGCATAAATAACCAGCAATGAAATGAATAGCCATTTAGAGGGTCATTGAAGCGTCACGGGCAGTCAGCTGTTTAGAAACGCGAATAGGCTGCGCGGGCGCAGCGTCACTGATGCGAGAAAATGACTGCCATTGCGTACTCGCTGCAACTGTCAACGATTGAGTCTTATTTCTGATTTATCGTCGTTTTCTTTATTATTCTTAATAAAATTTACTAATATTATTTTAATATTGTTACCAAATATAACATCGTTTAGAAACTACATTAGAAATGTAAAGATTGGTTGTCCTATTTCGGGGTTTCGTGTTTCTATTTAAAACTAAACAGCTGTTCTCAAAACATTTTTTTATTTATTGTTAGTACTTCATTACATTACATATTTTATACCCTGGACTTCAGGGCTTTAAAAAAAACACAGTTTCTCCGCTCTTCATAAAGCAAACTTATTTCGTACGTTTTATTCATAGTGGTCTTACGCTAACTCACATTACCCAGCCATATATTATGTTTGTACATACCTGGTACGTTTTTGCTTCGCGTACTGGAACTCGTTTGACAGGGTCACTCTATGTTGGGACTCACCTTCGTGCAATACGATCGTATACAGTGATTTCTAAGGTGACATCATAGCAGGTTTTGGGACTCATCTCGTACCAAGTGCTTGAACTTCAATACGAGGTACCTAACCTTGATTGAATTAGATATAGCTTTGTTGCTACGTAGTACTAGTTCACTAGATGATCTTTAATCATGATTATTTATTTAAATAAAACACTTGACGGTTTAAAACGCGAAATTTATTAGTTGACTTAGTTCTAATTTAAGCACGACTCACAGTCCATCCGTAGCTAGAGCTACTGCAATGCACCCCAAACGTGGGGCCGTAGGTAAATTAAAAATAAGTTAATATATCTCGCGTTTCAACCCGTTAAAAGTTTTTTATTTAAATGTGTAATTTAAAGAATATGCATCAGTTTTTTGTGAAAATAGATATTATAGTCAGTATATACTTTTTCTGATGTCCTAGCTTTTCTTAATAGTTAGTTAGTACTTATAGATATACTGTATAAAATGTGATTTTATTCTTTATCCAGTTTTTTTTTACATTTCAACATTACATGAGCGTGTATACTTCTGTGGATGTATAGGTGCCAAAAAAGTTTGACTTTGTTTTCTGCAGAGTTAATCAAGGCTAGCAATTTTTTATTGATATTCTAACGATATTACCTAATAATAATGACAAGGCAAGCTTACATTGACACACAACGTAATGTTTATTTTAATTCTGTTATATCTGTTTGATTCGAAGAATTCTTATACCTACAGCTGACCTTGTTCAAAATACTTTAGAAAATCTATTGTACGTTGCAAACGGTACTTTGGGACTCTGGTAGACAGCACTTATTGTCAATAAGATCACACCAAAGTAATTGTAATAACTCAGTAACTGTAAAAGTTCTGGTTGAGTAAGTTTAGCGACATAGTAAGGTTATATCTATCTAATAATATGTAATCTAGTTCTTACTAAGCCTTTATATTGCTCTAGCTGACCTGGCATCATCAAGAGGCTGATGCTGTATGGAGTATTTCGATCAAAAATATGATTACCATAAAAGGGTTTTTGTGAGTTAATCTTTTGAATCCTATGCTGTCGTAGATTTTTTTTTCGGTCGATAGGAATCATTCTTTCTTACATATTTTTGATTGATGATTAATGCTGTAACCAACACATTTTTTTTAAATTCAAACCAATAGTTTTTGAGATCAGCGCGTTCAAACAAATTCTCCAGCCTTAAGTACTGTTAACTGTGTTCCAAATTATCACTACTTTTGTAAGAAATGTGCGAAAAAGTTAGATAGCGTATTCCGTAACTCGGAAGCGTGCAATATTGACAGAATGGGTCATTAGCTCGCTGGCAACTGTCAATTCACCGCCCCGTTTGAAGGCGTGCGCCCGCGCAGATTTACTCCGCCGGAGTCTAAATTAATTCGTGCTTCTAACTTTTTGTGAATCTCCTTTCCATAATTATTTAAAGTGTAAGTTTTTATTACTAATTCTGCTCGAGATTTATGTGTTTTTGTGTTGTGTTGGATGGTGATTGCATTAATAATTTGAATAAACAGTAATACAAATGGTATTGTTAAATGCACAGTGTATTTAAGTCGTGTTTAATATTATTTGAGACCTAAAAACAGTATAATTCGATTAATTATGTCTTATTTGTTGACAAAATAAATGCATTTTTTTTTATTTTACCTTTAAGAATAATGGTTAATTTATTGATCTACTTAAATATTTGATTACTTTATGTATTGAGCTTATTTCTACAAATACTCGGTAGCTTCTAAATAAACTACGTAGTGATTCTTAAAACTTTTTTAATGAAAGCAGCATTTTGCAAAAATGCATTGTGTACACTAATATAGTCAACTATAACTTTAACAGAAGGTACAGCAGAATAGTGTGTCGTAGTTTTATCGGTATATTAAATTGCTTTGCAAATTATTTTAACACTCGTTTATATCGTGCTAACTAAAAAAAACTTTCCTAAATATGTACGGAAATAATCTTTTCTTTAAAAAAAGCGATTTAATAATTTTTCAGTATTATTACTAACGGCACATTTTATCACAAATTGAGCACAGTTCGACACAACCGTGTAATTTGGAGAAATTTAACTTAACTCTAGAACCTTTTTTTATAGTATAAATCAATCGCAATAACGATATTTGCTATTTTTCACCAAAAGCAGTGTATGTGCACATGAGAAAATTCTCAGCATAATCGTAAAAAGATGCAACCAAGGCCGGCGGGTTAACCTGGCCGATTGACCTAGAATTACAGTCGTTTAGTTATCACTGATGTGTCGCTTAAACTGGTCAGTAATAGACATCTAATGATCTTATTACCTAATATGGATTTGTTCTTAGACAACAGCGGATGTAGATGAAATCCCTCTAACTAAATTTTATTGAATACATGAATATATTCTTTGTATTTATGTCGACATTTTTCTTGAAAAAGTATAGGTATTTCATTATTTAGTAAAGTTTGAAAAATTAATATGTTAAGTAAGATAGTTTGATATTTTTTCACATGTTATCGCACCTGATGACGTAGGACATGAACTAGCATCCAACGCGTTCTGGTCAGCACAGGATTTGTTACTCTTATTGAGTAATTCTAGTACGATTATGATTTATATTATGCGACATGTTTAAATCAAACATTAGATTATTATTTGTAATAAAAAGTACGGTATTATCAATAGAAGACACACATTTTATCACCGTCAGCACTTTACTATTGTTTATCATATAAGGTGGTATTACTAATTTTGTATATTTTACAGCCAAACCGACCCCAGCGAAAACCCCTACAAAAAGTATAGAGAGCTCTAGAACGAATTCAAAAGACAGCGTAGCGGAAGACAATATCAGTCAAAGCTCGCTCGGTGGTGGAATCAAAGGGAAGTTAGCTGCGCTATTCAATAAAGAACAGACGATAAGCGAGACAACTATAGCAAATAAATTTAAGCAGGAGCGAGAGAAAGAGATGGAGATGCTTCAAAACAGATTTCATTATAAGGTAAGAACGCTGCTGTAAGTATATGACAATAGATCTAGTAATTCCTAAGGTTTTTTGTATATAAGGGCATTTAATACTTTTATTTCTGCTTTTTTATTAGGCATCGAGAAAGATATATCGCTCGATTAATCTTCGGCCTAGTTCTAAATATTTCCTTTGCTAAAATATATTAGTTAAGTTGACAAAATGCCACATCAATATAGATAGGTATCATGTTATAATAATCCCACTAAATAAGACTTACACATAATACACAAGGGTAAAACAATTCTAGTCCGGACTGTGTTAATGTTGCTTTTTAGTTTGTTATTAAAATCTATCAGACTTGGCAAAGGTTATTTTGCAACATGGTATTTCGACAAAATTTCTAATTAAAACTGTTCTTGTTGGTTGAACTCAAAAGATAAAATACTGTCGAGGAAATTTACTTAGATTGTATAGAAATACAGTTATTTTATACATATTCTCCTACATCGTAATACGCTAAAGATGAAAAATATTCGCATTTTCTATCACAATCTACAATAATATGTTTCTGTTGATTTGATTTCAATTCGAACCAGTTCAGGCTCATAATGATAGTATTAATTTATTATGATTTCAATTCGGTATTTGATTATTTTTAACAATTGTTCAGTACTCGCCTTTGTGTCGACGGTAAACCATGAGTTCTGGTTGTCATCGCCCACGCAAACTGAAGCATGGTGGGTCTAAGATCTTAAAACTCTCTCGTACGCGAGATACATATTATGAAAAGAATTATCGTTGAAGCTTCACATGTTCATAATAATCCGGGCTTTGAGCTCACACAATGTCATTACAAGGTAATCTGACAGTATACATCTGTATGTATCTCGAGATTAAACGAGTCAAAAACCCTCTGAATGCATTCTAAAAGCCATGTCACGACAAAGGCAGGTTTCGCAAATGTTAAAACTAGTAAAGAAAGATAAATCGCGATGTATTTTTTGTTTGTCGTCAAGGCAACGAGCTATACCAGTGTCTTATGTCTTACGAAGTATTCTATCTAACAAAAATAGCTTTATATTATTATTAAAGGAAAATATATTGAGTATTTTCCTTGTTATCTATGAGTAACCAATCTTTTACATTTTGTCATTATACATATTATGTACTTGTAAAACGGGGCCTAATATAAAAGAAGTCTCGCAAATAAATTTGTTTTACAAAATGGTTTAGATATATTCCTATTTATGTAAAACCAAAGGCCTAAACAATTACTTTTATGAAATAACTAAATCTATACTTATATATAAAGCTGAAGAGTTTGTTTGTTTGAACGGACTAATCTCAGAAACTACTGGTTCGAATTGATTTTGTTTTTTGTTAGACCATTTATCAAGGGAGGCTATAGGCTATAAAGCATTGCGCTATGCCTAATAGAAGTGAAGAGAAAGTGTGGAAAAAACAGGGGGAAATTATTCATATCTGTGGATTGCGATGCGTACGCTGCGAAAACAGTTCAAGACACCCTAAAATATATATAAAAGAATTATTTCTCTTTAAATGATCTAAAAAATTGTCCACAACACTATATATGTCTATTTTTTAAGCTTAATTGGCAAAAACGGCGGGACGCGAACGATGTCGTGGGTAACAGCTTAAATTTATATAAAGAAGAGATGGTTTCGATCAAATTTGGATTTCCAAAATAACTATTCCACGCCACGAAGTCGCTGACACGGTAGTAATAAAATAAATTTAAACAATATTCATTTCGATTAACGAATAACAGCGGCTTGTAGATGTGCATTTTCTTTTTCTCCTAGAACATTGTAAAGACCACTTCGTGTTCGTGTGTGGCCTGAAATGAGCATTCCTGTTCGTAAAATCTAAGCCGCCATACTCAATCTTCTATTTGCTTTCTGTACGAGTTCTAAAAATACACGTCGAAGTGTACATAGTGTTCCTTTTACACTGGCTCAGCCCTCTTCCAGGATTCGAGGAAATCTCGCTCAGCACTGTTTTGTTTAATGCCACGAACGCGTTCTTTGTTCCATTCGTTTGCTTGCGAAATTTATTACAAGGAACGTCGAGTTAGCGATTTTTATATGAACAAGTAGTTTTAATATCGAGTTATTTCGTATTCAATTGACGTATAGAAATATTTAGGCTACTGCTTGTCTTGGTTTGATTGTCAATGTATTGTTGCTTATTATTCGAAAAAAACATTTTAACGGTTGGAAACATGATATATTAATTTCAAACAGATGGTGCTAGAGCGCATATTTGACTTGATATTGAGCTTTAATATTTTAACATGCTATAGGAATTTATGGCATTATATAAATATAGAATAACAGAATTGAACACTGGATGCCGGTGCGTGCTAAATAAAACTGTTTAAAACTATAATAATACTCTTTCTGTCATTACTCGTTACCTAGAACCGGTTAATTTTATGCCGTCCTTATAACAGTTTGCGTGTGTTAAACGTTTTAATAACGTAACGCTCTTGTTTTTTAAGTGTTAGTTGTGTTCGTATTTTTTTCTCTATGTCAAGTAGTGTATATTTGATTTTTTTTTTATGAATTAGAGATCTTGCGGTTCATTGAAGTAACTTGTAATTTGACGGTAGTTTGATATTGTTTCAGAAAAATTACAATTTTTTTACAAATTAGCCGTGCCAGCGACTTCGTCCCCGAGAATCGTTATTTTCGGCATCTTTCTTAACTTAAGCTGTTACCCACGTCATTCTTGCAAGTTAATCTTAAAAGATTGACATTGATTAATAATTTTCACATCGCTGTATCTTCGCTCATATACGTCGCATCGCGATGTTTTATAAATGCCTTCCTCGATAAATGCTCTAACCAACACTAAAAGAAACAGCTGTTTTTTTTATTCGAACAAACAGCTGTCCAGCTTTTTATATTCGTTTAGATATGTTGGACCCGGGGGTCGAACTCACGAACGTTAATATTAGCTATCCATTCCTACCATAACAAAGTGCCCGTCGAAAGTATAACGTAGTCGTTTTACGAGTTCCCTTAGTGATTCTTAAACATTAAATTAGTTACTAATAATTGTACGAGTTACAAGCTGTCTCAAACGGACTAACAACGCGTTAGTAACGTTTTGATCATAATTTCAACTGGTCTACTTATATTTAAGAACCCACGTACTGCAACAGATGTCTTCAACATTTCCACACATGTCTGTTTTCTAATAGTTTCCGACACAGATAAAACAAGTGTTAATTGCGCAATTATATCACTGTTACGAGATTTAATTTGTGAAGTTTTTGTCACTGTACCACCATTGCGGCTCAATGATTAAACGTGCTGTCAGTCATTAAGCACGAGTGGGTCTTTGAATCCCGGGAAATAAGAAGTTGTTTCGGTCTAGCAAAGATGTCTGATCGACTACTTGCCCGTAAATAAAATCGATCAGTAACGCTCGAACTATTGGCCCATGCCTCACAGGGGAGACGGTATTTCACTAATTTGACATTGAATTTTTTAAGTCCTCTTTATGCCCTATAATTTTTTTCCCCATGGATGAATAAGAGGAAAAGCAACAACCATCTTTCTGAAGAGATTTGAACAGAATGAATTAATATTTGTTCACGTTTGCTCCTCCGCTAGGCCCATATGTCTGCAACATATCATCGGTTACATCGATTGTGTAACTATTAACTAGAAGTAGAGTAGGCGGCGATAATTTCCGAAGCAAACACGACTTTCTCACACTGTGTACTGATAATAGGCAGTTTTGTTATGGAAATTATGACGTTACGAAGTCTCAAAGGTTTCTCCGACTATGCAAAAAAGTGGAGCGGGGCGTGTTGCAACGTCTTCTTTTGTAGGATTTTTACTATACTAATTACTATTATTATTGTCGACATCAGTTTACCCGCAAGCACATAATATCTTATCGAACTACTTTTTGACCCAATCACTTCCAAAAAGACTAAATCTTTATACGAAAAATATCTATATATAAAATCGTATTTTAGATTTTAAAGAAAATTACGACATTTGCAGGACTTGATCCGCCATCTACAGTTCCTATGCACTGTGTCATAAATAAAATATTATCAATCTAAAATCGCTTTAATTTATATAATGCCATTATGCGTAATAAATAACATGTGAAAAATATTAAAGTTTTCAAATATCTATGTTCCTTTAAAATATGGTCAATATTCATAAATTTTCCTTTGCCAAACTAAGCCGATTTTTAATCATTATATTACGCGATTTTTATATGTACGCAGTTCGGCTTATATTACTACATTAGTTATTAGTCGTTTATTTAGCTGAAAATCATAAGGATTACACTAAAATTCTTAAACCTCAAATTTATTACTCAATTGAAAATCTATACCATTAATAGCTTTGTTCCATTCCAGCCCCCACCTCCGCCAAAACCAAATGACGACTCTGATGATGACCACAGTGAGAATGATCCTTCGGAGAAAGCCCCCTTGATGGGTAGTACCACTAGCCTGGCGCAGAGAAAGCCAGAGATTATAGCAAACGTACCTAAAACTACCACAGATAAAGAACCAGTGGAGAGAGAAAAGGAAGACGATAAAATTGTTGAAGCACAACCAATTAAACGCAGGAGTATGTATACTTAACTACTTTAAGTAAAATGCATAAACTTAAGATTAAGGGGCAGTAATAAGTTTTGTTTAAAATATAGTCCTCAAGTTTCTATAACAAGACTTAATTTTGATTAAAAAACATTTTTTCCTATTTTTTATCTTTCGTCTTCTCTTTAGAACTAAACCTGGTATATAATTGTGAGTTATTTATTTCAGGTTCTCAACAGGACTCGCCAGTAGTTCTATCAGTACTAGATGACGTTAAACGGATAAAGGTCAACAGTAAAGAAACAAATGGGACAGTCGTTCAACAGCCCACAAGCATCTACCCAAGGTTGTCTGATATTGAGACGGAGAATTCTCAAGAAGAGTATTCAGACTGTGGAGGTTCTAGGTGCGGTTACTACACTGTAGAGTGTATATTTTTCTTCCTTTGTATATGAACTTTTATACGTAATACCTTTATCCAAGGCAAATACATACATTCGGTTGTAATGTATCTACATATAACATTTTGGCAAATGTTTTGGTTCTCGCTAACCAGATATTAATATAACCAGATCATTCATAGAAAAAAATATTGATAGGCCATTATTTCCTGACATTGGAGTAATAAATCGTTATATTTAAAATGGACCCAATGTTTGAACGAACATTTTGGTCCTTGTGATAATATTATCAAGATGGCAGAAAACTGGTTAGCAGTCTGCCTCTTTCTGTCACTCTATTCCATTACCAGACCAATGTTTGTACAAATATTGAAGTCTGATAACTCACTATGAGATTACACGAATCTTACATCATTACTACTTACATTTTACAACATTACATAACTATTTAGCGTCTGACTTAAACAAGGTGGGAAAGATAAGAAATCTAAGATTACAAGCCAGACAATCAAAGCATCTGTTGTAATTTTTTACAATAGTTTACAAAAGATGCAACTAAGTCTTTTTAGAATCCGCAAGTCATCAATAATAAATAGTTGTTATTAGAATTCAATAAGTTACATAGGATTTACCTGTTGTGTTATGTTAAAATTAATCTATGCACAAACAACACTGCCAACCGGTTTTAAAATATATAGCCTATATAACATCCATCTTTAGGATTGTAATATTTTTAACTATAAATGCATCGATAGTCCGAAAAATTAAATACAATGCAGTTTTACACGCGACTTATAAATTTACTATAAAATATTTAGGTAGCTTAAATATTACATATTTTAAAAAGTTTTAATGTCACCAAAACAATTATAGTTTTTTTATATCGTTTATACTTACATTGCACGAGGAAATATCGCATAACAAAATCAAATGTGATTTTAAATCTTACGAAGAAGTAATACCTACAGATACTTAACCAATTTCTTGTTGACGCATTACCTCGATAATAAAGCTAAATAAGTAAACATCATCGTTTCGTAATCACATAATATTTGAACTAGCCTTCACAGGTTATGCGTGAATTTTGCACTCATAACGACTCATTAAGTCAACAACATACATAATGATTGTCCTTGCATTAGTAAAGCATGGAATTATATAAATTATTGGACTATTTGCGTAAACGACAATTACGCTATTTCCCATCTACTTAGTATGAATACGCGCCTTAATACACAGCTGTACTATATAGATTAGAAGTTACGTATGTATGTGTGGCAATAACAGTATTTAAAATCACACGTAAGGAAGTTGCCATCTATACTGCTAGCCACCAACAAATTCATTTAAGAAAACTTCAAAAGTAAATTTTATTTTAGACATTAAAGGGTGGTTTAGTAACCGTGCAGATTTTAATTTTGCTCTTAGTCCATGGTTTTCGAATATCCAAAGTAAGAGTATCATAATAATGGGATGTTATGGCTGGGCTATATCTCTTTCATCGAGTGAGTCCATGCTTGCCTCTCTTCTCTCATGTCGTTAAAAAAGGGACTCCACTTTAAAAGCTCTTTAAGTGATGGAGCATTACTTTTTATTATGTATTTACAAAGCGAAAGATATAAAGCTTAGTGTTAACGCGTGTATTTTAGGTACTAAAATAACGTACCAATACTTTAAAATACTAAACTTAAGACTGTATGTTGCCTAGCTAGTATGTAGGTGTTTTTTAGATAATTTATTAATTAGTCTAGTTCAAAATATTCCTATCATACCCTTTTATCTAGAAATAAACATATGCATCTACTTAATGCCTAGGCTAACTTTTCCTATTATATTTCTAAATAGGAGTACTTAATAATATCGTAGTATGTATTCACCGCCTTATTTATAATTGTCGATAAATTGATATCTGTCTCTTAAAACGTATTGTTAAATGAGACAAAATAAAGTATTAAATAAATCATAAATCAGGTTGTAACTGCGCACAATTCCCGTAGAATGAAACGTATTTTCAAATTTTGAACGCTGTGATTGGTCGATTGAAAAAGTAGCGACCAATCACAGTGCTCGATTTAAAATACCGGCTTTGTTTAAGAGAGACTTATAAAGTGATATTATTTAATTACTACCGAAGTAGGTCGTTCTTCAATAAACTTAAAAGTAAGAAAATTTGCCTTCTACTGAAAATACAAATACATGAAAAAAATCATAAGTAATGTGAGAATTACAAATAAATTCATAACTTAAGTTTTTAACCTGAGAGATCTACAAACTGCTTAAAAATTAAATTTCAGAACAATAGTGAGCCTTACTGCTTGAAAATTAAAGTTTAAACTGCAATGTAGGCTGTTAAATTATGGCTTACACATCAATCGTATAACCTTTATCCATATATTGTGGTCAGTAATGCAGTCTTATCTGAAATAGCTGAATAGCCTTTCATGTATACTTTAACTGAACAATAAATTCCTTACCTTTTTATTGCGTCTGGGGTATTATTATTTTTTATCGACGTACATAATATATTTAACACTACAATAAATTAGATTTGAGGTGATTTTTGTTTATAACACCGGAGTTAAACCGAAAAAATAACCAGTTATACCAAGTCGACTTCATTGTACATATTTAAATAAAACACTAACGGTATAAAACGCGATATTTATTAGTTAAACTTATTCGAAAATAATTTTAACTATGGCCCGACGTTTCGGATGGTTTGCAGCAGCCGTGGTCACGAGACATTTATATATCGCGTTTTAACCCGTTAAAGTGTTTTATTTAAATGTGTATTACTAAGTTACAGACAGTATTTCGTTGTATATGCTTCAATATTCTTTTTGAGACTGCATACCGTCAGAGAAAGGGAAGCTAAGCAGACTCCGTAACGCGTTACCATTCATTAAGAATTTATCACTCCACGATAGCAACAAAAATTACTTGCACTTTCCTCCTAGGCCCTTGGAAGCTAAGTACACCCGTAGCTAAAAATATACGGCGACCTTAGTACTACTGAGAATATTATTATTTTACTTCCAACTTTGTATTAACTCATAATTAAGGCGCTTCTATCAATTCGTAAAACTTTGTATTTTTTAATACTAGCGCGGATTAATTTAAGCCTTATTTTTAAGTTAATTGTCTGTGATAGTAGATAATTTTTTTCTATATGTTTTTTTGTAAGAAATAAAAAGTTTAGAATTGTATGTGGTATTTTATTCACCCTGTCCTGTGGTTTGTGTGTGCATATCTAATATAGTTCCTAGAAAATGAAAATTACGCAACTGTGTTTAAAAAAAAAGTTAAAAAAATTGAAGCTTACTTAAAGTGTTATTTGTAGTTTGCGCGAGTACAATACGATATAGAACAGATCAAAACGCGAAATATATATGTTATTTATTTTTGCCAACGACCCAAAAAAAAGTAATGTAGAAATAATCTATTTCAAACTGATAAGATGATTTATTTAAAGACTTGAGTAGATAATCCGCGCGATGTAATGTTTTAAGAGAGTTATGAGGCATTATATCATAGGAGATTTAATAATGTTACGTTGTGATCAATTTAGTTAGTATCAATATAAGATTTTTAATTTTGGTTGAGTTTCAACGTTCCACCGAAAATATGAACCTAAAACTATGTATTTACAATTCACAAAACAGCATTTTTACGAGCGCCTCGAACGAATAAGGCTTTCGCGACCATTTTGCTAAACTGTTTGGGCTTTCGTTCCGTTCGACTAATTGAGAAAGGGGTCGTCCATTAATCACGTGAGGCTTGAAGGGGGGGGGGTATAAAAAATCACGAAAATAACACAATGGTGGGGGGGTGTAGTAAGATATCGCGTGTATATATTTTTATTTTTTTCAATTTCAATTTTTCGTTCGTCAAACGCGCGATTTTTAAACAAAAATTAATAAATTCAATACTTGCAAAAGATATACAAAGATGTGAAACTATTGTAGTATAAAGTGTGAATAGGACATTAATAATATGTAGAATGAATTTCTATATCTGAGATGACTTTAAATAAAACACGTTTTACGGTTAAAAGCGCGAAATATATAAATTAACTTATTTACAATTTATTTTAACTACGACACGTTTCGAATGCTTAATATCTAAACACATAGAAATTAAATGTGTTCTACTCGATTAAACTACAGCCACAGACAGTATTTACAGGCAATCTAAAAGTAAATAAAGTATTAGATACAGTAAGACCTTAAATATGAGATTTCAAACACAGTCTAGTTTCAATATTACTAAACCCCACCTCCTTTCATAACCTGCTTAGCTAATAACTGCATTACAACGATTCCCACGGCTGGGACCAGGTTTCCTAACTACCACGTTGGTCAGTCGTGTCGGACACGTGGAATCTCTCGCGATGTTTTCTTACCCGGCTTTAGTAATGAGTAATGAAAAATGTAAGTTATAAAATAGGCACAGTTTTATATGGCACACTGAAAACCACGGGAAAAGGCTGAATAAACTACTAATTTTTATTTTTTTTATTTTATGGGATTGGAATTAGTTTTAATTTTGAATCTGTATATTTTCAGTGAAGACAATGTTCCTGAAAAATTGAACAAATCGGAAAATTGGGCGGATACGTCGTTCGGTCGAGAAGTAATGAACGTAAGTATAGCTAAGGATTTGAATATTTCATTAGACGATGTGGTCAGGGTTCACTATTTTAGAAGGTTACCTAAAAGTTAAAGAATAACAACATTTCTTTTAAAAAGCAAACAGAATGAAAATATGATGACTCTTCATAAAACCCTTACCCCTTATAACGGTGTCAAAAGCGGTATATTATAATTACCTTATTATAGCTATAGACCGCCTCTGTAACCAAATGGTCAAACGTATTGCCTAGCATTGCGTTAAGCGCGAGAGGTCCTGGGTTCGAATTCCAGGGAAACATGGAAGTCTGGAACTTGCCTGTTAAAGAACGGATCAGTGAAACGGACACACAAATGTGTTCGCCCCATGCCCCACGAGGTGGAAACGGAATTATACACACACAATTATAACTATGTATATGACCTGAGCTCCCGGTTGCTGCAAAATATTTTAACAGTTAATTGAATATTTGCGCGCAAGTACAGGTAATCCCAAAATAGAATTAACTTTTTATTTATTTTGTATTACAAGGTCGTTAAGAAGAACAACACGAGCTACAAAAAGGCGGTTCAAAGCGATAGTGAGGAAAGTGCGTGTGATAGCGAACTAGACGATCTACTCGACGAAGCTCTGAACGAAGGCCCGACACCGCCCAAAGTACAAAAGGTGATTAAAACTTAGATTGAGCACTTGAAAGTTGATTTAGCTTCTATACTAATATATAAAGCTGAAGAGATTGTTTGTTTAAACGGGCTTATCTCTGAAACTACTGACTCGAATTAAAAAAATATCTAAATATAACGATGCGACCAATAGGCGTCAAGAAACAGTGGGAAAAGTGGAAAAAACATCATTCCGGGTTTCCGTTGCATGCGCTGGGAAAACGGATAAATACCCAAAAATATATACAAGAGAATTATTTCCCTTTAAATGGTGTAAAAAAACTTTTAAGATTAACTTGCAAGAACGACGAAACGCGACCGACGCCGTGGGTATAGCTATATTTCATTAAGTTAAGGAGGAGGTTACAAAAAATAATTTTGATGGCGAAAATTCCTATTCTACGTGAACGAAGTCGCTGACGCAGCTAGTTATTTATATATGATCAACATCATATCCATCATCAATTTATTTAAACTCCCTTAGTGCAAGAAATTTTACCCTTACTTGTTTCTTTCTTACATATACTTTTACTGTACTGTAGCTAAAACAGACACAGCTGTGTCTCGTATAGGCTGCGCCATTTTTATCTCAACGCTAGGATATTATATAACGGCTAGGACCGTCGATACTATATAACGTACTTCCAGTCCGGGTGCCTTACATCATCAAGTTTCGTGTACCAGGATCGTGCGCAGTTCAAGTCGCCGCTGAAGTGCCAACCGGCTGCGACGCCCATCCGGCACGACAAGGGCAACGAGCTGGTGCACAGCGTCAGTTTCTACAGACGGATGCAGGCAGTAAGCTAAATCGTAAATTCTTAACAGCAGCAGATAATATCTAGTAGGAGATCCGTTCATAATATTCTAGTTTTTATGATGGGGGGACAGATAAGCACGAGGTTCACTTGATGGTAGGTGGAATACCAGAGCCATTTAAATAAAACACTTTAACGGTTTAAAACGAGATATATTAGTTAAACCTTCTCCCCGTGAACACGGCTGCTGAAAAGCATCCGAAACGTCGGGCCGAAGTTAAAAAAAAAAAAAAAAAAAAAAAAAAAAAAAAAAAAAAGGGGGAAAAAAAAAAAAAAAAAAAAAAAAAAAAAAAAAAAAAAAAAAAAAAAAAAAAAAAGGGGGGAGAAAAATTTTGTGGGGTTTGTGGGTAAAAAAACCCCAAAAAACCCCCCCTCCCCCCCAAAAAAAAAAAAAGGGAAAAGGGGAAAAAAACGGGGGGGGGGGGGGGGGGGCCCCCCCCCAAAAAAAAAAAAAAAAAAAGGAGGAAGCCCAAGGTTTTAAAAAAGTAAAAAAATTTTCAAAAAAACCCGGGGGGCTGGGGGAGAAGGGAACCCAAGACCCGGTGAATTTTTGGGTAAAAAAATCACCATTTTAGAGCCCACAAAAGTTTTTTATATTTAAGATGATATTATGTTATTTACAGTCGAGTACTCCATCCACCCCACTCCGCGTGATTCGCCACGCGTCACCGGAACGGGAGCCTCCCGCTACGCCGGACGAACCCGCCCCTAGCGTGACAACAGTGCGCCAGCGCATCAAAGAGTTGCAAGGGGAGATTGCCAAACAGCAGACTGTAATATCGCAGGTGAGTAGTCAAATGACTTCAAACTTGACTTTTGTTTCCCTCGATAACCAAATTTGTCTGTTTTTTTTTTTAATTTGTACTTTTTTAAATACCATGGTTATTGTATATGATATAAACCTATTTAGTAATTTTAAACCGAACATTAGATAGGGTTAAAATCAATCATTTTTTTGCTTATCTATTATAAATGACCTGGCTAAATTAGTCATAATCCATTTACTATTCAATTATGTATATTATTTTGTATCGTAACAGGAAAATACAGTATTAAAAAAAATCACATTTAAAATTCCACTCCAGTAGTCTAGTAGTACTGGGAACATTCTATAATGTGACATTGATGAATCCTTTCAGGCCAGTCAAGCATTAAACTTATGTGCGGCTACAATTGAATTCAGCGGATCGACGGAACAAGCCGAAGGAGAGAGATTGCTGCTGTTAGCGAGTGAGTGAAACGAAAGACAATGTTTCATACTTCTGTTATTCAGTTAGAACCAATGAATACCTGACCTGAAACCTAATACGCTTTTTATATAATTTATTCTATGATGAAGATAACAGAGTAGGACAGATTAACATAGAGATCCCTTGATAGAATTTGAAATACTCCAAACGTTGTTAACGTATATTTTAATATAGACATGATTTTTAAATACTGTCTATAGTTTACATATACACATTTAAATAAAACACTTTAAGTTTAAAACGCGATATATTAGTTAAACTTATTTGAAAATGATTTTACTTCATTTGATTTTCAACGTTAGGGAACAGTTGAACATCAAATAATTAAAAATCATTTTCAAATAAGTTTAATAAATTCCTTTATCGATTTTTCTTTTGCTATTCTTGGGTTGTACTTGGGTCTCTGTCATTCTTTTATTTCTTTCTCTCTGCTATGAATTCACGTGCCCTTCTTTTTAGCACACCGCCGCCAAGCGTGTCTACACGAAATGCAGCGGTTGCAGGTGGAAGGGGCTGGCCCTGCTGCAACAGCTGGCATGGCATCGCTCCACATTCAGAATATACGTGTACCTCTTCGCAGAGATTATGTACGGCAGCTGCATGCTGGTAAGTTAATCTCGAATTTAATTTATTGGACTGATTTGATTGCTTCTGTGGAGTGCTATGTCAAACATCACAAGTGTATTTTTTACTTATGTATATTTACAAACTAATTAATAATAATCCAAACTGATAAAGAAACCTTCTAGCGACTTATGTCGTACCGGCTTCAGTAACTTAAAACACAGTACGTCCTTAACAATCCCCAAAATAAATCCCCCTGCATCCATATGGCCTGTCCACCACACGTAACAGGTACTGCCAGGTTTGCCATACGAATTGCTCGTTAGGGGCATTTGTATCTGAGTAGATAAGTAAATTGTCTGAAGTCACTAGGTCTCTTTTTTATTTTTTGCTTTTATTTTATACTATACCGAGAGTTTCTATTCTACAGATGGCGCTGTTGGTCACCATGCCGTTTGTCTTCTGAAATGCCGCGACAGGGTACTCGCAAGCAGCATGCAGTTGACAAAACCCAATGCCCCCCTTAACTTCCCAGACGACATACGTATGGACGGATTAGCTAGTGATTTCAAGGTAACATAATAGGGTCTTATAAACTTTTCATGTGTCCGTAGTTGTAAATCTTTGAAAGTTTTACAACTTTACTTATAACTAAAAGATGCACAAGCAGTGCAAGTATTAATAGGTTAAAAATTCGACGATGAGGTGTAGGACAAGGTAGCTCAAGTTGTTCGAGCAACAGCATGGAACGCTGTGAACGGCGGTTCATGTCCTGCCCGTGTCGTAAAATTTTCTCAATTAAAAATTTATTTTTAATTTAACAAAAAGATTAAAATTAAATAGATCGTTTGTCCCAGAAGTAGATCGCATATTTACAGGAAATAAGCCACCGTGGCAATTTTAGGCCTTCTGCTATCCCAGCAATGGGAATCGTTAAACGGTTGATGTTATAAATATGTTTGTATTTTTCAGGTCACAGTTGAAGTATATTTTTTGCAAGCGTCGAAAGAAGTCTTGCCCCACGACGTCAAATACCATATCTCTAATAAGAAGGTAAAAAATTACTACTCGCCTTATCTTTTCTTTACTTTATAAAGCTAAATTTTAAAATTGTGTAAGGATTTCGAGGCCATTTTGTAGAGGTACTTATAATAATAAGATAAGTTTTTTTAGTTTAAGAATGGTTCGAAAGGCAAATAGTTTGAGAACCTACCTAGCTTTAAAGAATATCTTTGTTTGTTTAGTTAAACGAACATTTTTTACATTCGAGGTCTTTTATCAAGGAAGTAAGCCTTAATAGATGGTGAAGAAGCGATGATGACGATTTAAATTATGTTAGAACATTATTAATTTTGCGGCTAAGTTAAAATCATACTCATTCTATCACAGGGTAACTCGAAACTTCTTACACCCAAATCGAAGGTGTCCGAACTAAAGGCGCCAAGAGTGCAAAGTCCGGGAGGTCCCCTCACTGTAAGGACACCGCAGTTCCAGCTGCACGGGTACTGCATATTCGCGCTGCAGCAGGCCACGAGGAAAAGCTTTACGCTCAACAAGGTATTTAATCTAAATGAAAGAGAGGTAGAGAAACAGTTTAATTTTAAAGTAGTTGGAACCGCCCTATATAAGAAAGATGGCGAGTCAGAACGGTAGGCGGTAATATATTAAAAAATACGAATACGTCATAATTCATAATACATTTAGATAGAAAACATCTTTATTCGGTTTTTCTTGTCTTCTAGAGTAAATTTGTTTATTCAAATGTATAGTTATTACATTTTGTTTATTATTTTTATTAAGAAGGTCTGCTTATTTTTATATGTTTAGTACCATTTAGTTTTTTAATATAAAGGAGGACAGACGAGCACGGGGTTCAATTTATGGGAGGTGAACCCAAGCCATAATTTACCCATAATCGAATTTTTTGGCTTTGGATATTCAGTTGTACTTCAAGTTCAAATTAGTCTTTCTTTATTTTATTTATTTATTTAGATCGGTTTACCAACGTTATATTTTTTTGCTACATATAATAAAAATAGTAGAATAGAATTTTGAAACAGACCAAAAGCTACATTATATTTTAAGAGAGAAGTAATTCATTGAAACAATGTAATTAGGTTCCATGCGGCAGTCCGCTAGAGGGCAGCATTCACTTGGATATTCGCGCTCGGTTGCGCGTCTCCGCGCCCCCTCCGCACTCCGCCTTTTTAACCGCCTTCGACGACGTCAGCGGCTTGGGAGCTTGGCATCGCCGCTGGTTCCGCCTGCAGCCACCGACACTGTCCTACTGGAAGTACCCTGATGACGTCCAGAAAAAGGTAATTCTACTTTTTTCTTTGATAACATACAATGTATTTTTTTAATAAAACACATACCAGTGTCAATGCGAAATAGTAAGATAGCACGTCTGGTCACGTGCTCGTAGTTAACAATAAAGATACTAATATGTTTTGCGTTTTGATCCGTTAAAATCCGTTTTTTCGTAATTGCGTTTAATGGTTTTATTTAGCTCACCCCGTTTGTTTTATTATTTATTCTTGGGTCAAATTTAGTAATTCAAATCAAATTCAAATTTCACCCTCTTCCTGTCAACCTGTGATTAATCTGAAATTTTGTATACAATTTGATTTTGGTGACAATACAATTATGTTTATTCATTATCATTATAAATCCAAGATGCCCACGGTTTTATTTTAGTCTAGTCTATATATGTTTATAATTCTAGACTGTATCTATTTTATTATTTTTTTTTTTATACATTTATCTTAAACATTGCAATGTATGTTTAACATAAAACCGTTTAACTTCAAAAGTTTTTTAAACCGTTTTTTATTTATTCTTGGCATATGCCTCTATAAACTAGGAATTATGTATTTAATTTAAATGCGACTCTTTAAATTGATACTTTTGCTTGTGTGTCAAAACCTAAATTTCCATTTAATAACAACATAATGATTATTCTGAATTATTTGCAGCTACCCATAGGCGATATAGACTTGACCACAGTAATTTCTGAGAACGTCATCAAAGCGCCGCGGGATCTATGCGCCAGACCCAACACCATACTTCTAGAGACGTCTGTCCCAGCGGGTCTAATAGTCCCCGATACGGGATCGCTTGTGTACTTTAAGGGCCCAGATGGGACGGTGCGCAGGCGACATCTACTAGCCGCCGATACGCCGAAGGATAGAGACTTGTGGCTTGAGATGTTAAACAGTGCTCTGGAGTACGTCAGATGTTGTATTGATGAAGACGAGTGAAGGTTCCCAAGTTCAGTTTAATCTTACAATTAATTTGAAGTAAATTTTTGAAATTTCGCTTTGATTCAAAATTTAGTAACATTATTTTTACCTCATCACTTATTTTAGATTAAGTACTAAAATGAGAGGGTAGTTAAAAATTATTTTTCTACACAAAATTAACTGACTATAGACTTGAAAATTATTGCATTTTTTATTTGAACTTTGCTGTCTTATGTAAATGACGAAATAGGAAAGTAAGGTAGCTTTAATATACTAACCACCAATGTATTAACTTTAAGTTTTAGGTATTATTTTAATGGTTAATGAATTTCTTCTAAAATTTACTCTTACATCAGAACTGTGTACCAATTATGTATTTTATATACACTATGAGTGATTATAACTCACTTGACAGAAAGAGATGATGTTTTACACTTTTAACACCTAATACTGGCGCTTTTATTTGAAAATATCTATCCTTTTTAAAACTATTTTTTTTTCTTGTAATACAATTTAACTCGTAACGTAGTATATATAAATTTAGTATTATTTTATAGCAATGCATTTTAATCGTAATATTTTAGGTTTAATTTATTTTTAGACTGCATTATAACAGCTGATAGTTCTGTATCTTTTTAACACAATTTTTAGAGTATTTGTAGGAAAACGACTAAACATAAACGACATTTTTTTTATTTCATAATGACATCATGAATTTTCAAGTAACATGACCAAAACTAGTAAAATTTATATTAAAAACTATTATTAGATAGTAAGCCGTAATATTAACACGAACAATCCCCTTTTTCTGTAATGTCTCCAAATTTATTTTATATCTATAGAATTCATACATCATTTGAAATATATATACGCCTTTAACATATATATACAGGCATTCGCACATTCCTATATCCAGGTAGATTGGTCGATGTTATTTCAGTCATGCAATATATATGAATAGATGTGTACATAAAATCAAATATTTTTACCAATAAATATGTATTCGTAATGTGTTTTTTATTTAAAACTAGCAGCACTTGGTGTTAATGTATTTATTTCTTCATATACTTAAAAATATGACAACTAACAAAAAAGAGCTTGTAAAAGTGTTTAGTCATACATTCGCTCTATCTCAAAAGAATCATAAAATTATTGAGAGACATACATACATGACATTGTCTTTGCAAATAGTTATTTTTATTATCTTTATCTTATTTATACAGATTAAAAAACAGTATGACTAGCATTTATTTTCCACAGATAGCAACACGATTCTCAAACTATTTTCATTTATTTGTCATCGTCATAACCCGCGAAATCGTCTTCAACTCGTCTGTGCTTCCCAAACTTTTGCGACGTCATCACTTGTTTTATATCGTGCTGAAAACAAAAGATGGCTCTTAAACTCATTATATAACTTACATCTATTTTTAAGTGGTGTATTGAATTAATTTATTATAAATTAGTAAGTGTTTTAGGTTAGGAAAAACATTATAACACAGCGATCGATACGGTCTTGCTTTCGAATCCCGTCTATTGTCAATTTTCTTTTCATATAATAGCATTATCAATTTACATTAGAAACTTGTTGGCTAAATTTAAACACCAATATTTAAAATTTTAACATAGATTGTATCTTAAAATTTTTTAAGATTACATAAGGGGCTCAAAATATGTGTCATATTGTGACAAGCGAGTAAGATTCCGGGATCTATTCCTGGAAAAAGAAACTGTTGCGTTCGGAAAAATTACTACAATCGACTACTTCTCGATGAATATAAGCTGTCAGAAAAAAAATCGTGTTCCTTGATTGTTAATTTAAAAAATGTGTACCTACAATCAATCGTTTGCACAGCTTTGTAAATTGACCGCAGTCAATGTTTGTGGGGGGAGACCGTTTGCCCCCAGTCCAGTCTCTGCTGAACGTCACCTGAGACGTCACTAACATCATCAATGTGAACACCGTCAGCAGTGTTAAGATTCTGCAAAACGTATTTCATTTATTATTATATACATTGTAACATAATAAGCCATTTCCCACAGCTGGGACTCTGGCCAAAAGTATAGTGGGGTTTATCGAGCATAAAGATTAAGACTAACTATTTACACGCAATATTTAAGCTATGCGGCATGTGCAATTTGATAAAAAAATTCACATATTAAATTAAATTTAACAATTCGTTTAATATTTGATATATTCCAGGTTACCTATTCTGGTTTCCTTAAAAAAATTTAATTCCTGGATACCACTTGGCAATGTTGGTCAACACTTGTAACTGAAAAATCCCTTGAAACGAAGGACTCAACGTTGAATAAACAAAATTTGACGAAGCTTACTCAAAATGCTAAGATCTCTTAACTATTTAAACGTCTTAGGGAAAAATAAATATTCGCCCACACTGTCGAAATAACGCTTTTTAATTGCTTTAAGGTGTAGCAATTTTTCCGGTGGAAAAATGTGACGATAAGTATTCGCGGATCAACATAAACTATGTAGGAAATTCAACGCCCACTGCCTTGTCGTAATGTCTGATTGATTTAAGTGTCAAAATTATCGTTTATTATAAAGGTAGAAATACGTAGAGCTTAAAAATATTGCTTTTAAGTTTTTTTTTGCAATTATGACGGGCTCGTCTGCTGGTAGCAATGTAGGTATAGCTAATAATCAACGGGTCGTATCGGGTCCAACATATTTCTAATTTTTCAATTTATAATTCTTCTGAAACATGTTGGGCTTCGTCTGGTAATCTGGATATTTAATGGATGGTAGGAATATCGAAATTCCTTTTGAACCACCGTCCACAGATGAAAAGGCCGTGAAGCTTCATCAGGTTTCGGTTTCAGTCTGTGGATTTCGCATATCGAAAGCCAAAATAGGTCGACCGCGCAACCTATTTAGATGCTATAGGCTAGGGTATATCAACTACCATTATGTGAACTCCACGCTTGTCTGTTCTCCTCTATCATAAAAAGAAACCATAAGTATTGTATTTAAATTAAACACTTTAACGGTTTAAAACGCCGTATATTAGTTAAACTTATTTGAAAATGATATTTAACTTCGGCCCGACATTTCGTCGTATAGGTATTGTGTGTAGGCACGCCTCAAGCTAAATCGTTAAGCATGTTGCCTAGCATTGAGTTAAGCGCGAGAAGTCATGGGTTCTAATCCCGGAAAAAGGATAGATGATTTCGGGCGGGTAGAGCACAGAAGTCTGATCAACTACATGCCTGAAAATAAAATCGACCAGTAAAACGAACACAGAAATGTTAACGCAATCACGGCTGCTGCAAAGTATCCGATACATTGGGCAATACTTAGTTAAAATATATATATAAAAAATAAACAAAATATCTCGCATTTAAAGCCGTTAAAAGTCTTTAAATTAAACTTTATAATACATTCATTAAAAACTAACAACTAATAAGCTAAAACAAGAAGATTGGGTATAGAAAGCTAATTGAATAAAATAAATATCATCCATAATACTTATTTGAGGCTGCTAGAGGCAGAGTGGCCTAATAACAAAAAACATGATTTTTAATAAGAAAGAAAATACAGAAAGGCGCCCTTAACTTAGGCGAAAATACATTTGTACACAATTATTAAATTGTGTAAAAATTATGTTAACAATTTTCGGTCACACTCTTGTACGAGTAGATTAACATTTTTAGACTATGAAAATGTGTTTATTGATAAAAAACTCAAGTCGTAAAATTGCAGTTAGGCTAGGCCTCTAGCAGCCGCATAATATGGTGGTATAGTTTGAATATAACATTACCTGCAGGTAACAGAATTCATTATAACACTGAATACTCCCACAGGACACGAATGACAACTCTTTGCAAGATACAAGTTACTTCGTTTTTATACCTTCTCAAGTATCCACTGCGCAACTGATAGGTCACAGGACAAAAGGAATAAAGGAATATTTATGTTTCAAGGGTCGAAGGACACATAATTCAGAAGAAATTGTGCGTTGTTGGGTTTTAAATATGTTATATTGAAAATTAAACTTTGCTTATTAAGGAAATCGTATAGTGCTTTATTAAAATAGACAAAAAGTTATTATCTAAAATAAGCTCTTAAACAAAAAAAAACGAGAACTTCAATAATTATTGTCATCATACTCATGTGTATAAATTTCTCTCAAAATGCATTACTTTCATCTATTAATAATAGCAAAAGGTATGTTTATTTGAAATCTTATAAAACTAAGTCTCGTCTAAGTAACCATGACTTAGTTAATGCATACCTTACATTCTTTTTATTTATTCTAGACACAAATTATATTTGTCTAGTCTTCTTGTTGTTGGTTATGGTGGATCTCAGTTAAACATATCTATAAATTTACTTCGCACTAAGTACGTAATTTACTCAAATAGAAATGATCGAATAAATATTTTTATAACATAATTTTCACAGTTGACAAGCTTAAAAGGAGATCAAGGTCTGTGATCACAGACCTGCGTTTGGAGATTTTTTTATTAAGTACTATAAAGCACTATAACTTAATATAATAGTTTTGTAGTGGATCCGATGATAGTCCCAAAAGACAGTCGGAGGAATTTGTATTATTAAGAACTTTAAACATAGATGGGCTGTGATTTTTATTACATATCTGATGATGAAGACGAGGGCCATTTTAGGTCATGTCCTCAACAGTTTATAGTAGCTCGGGACTTTGAGTTTGAACTTGATTTATTTATATAGATGTACATTATAATCATTGTAGAAATCTGATATCGAACAATAACTAAAAAAACCGTTCGAGATATTAATTTACAAATTATATTTGTTTTGCGACACATTTTGATCTATGTAAAAGTATTTTACAATTTTCTAATACGGGAGATAAATTTTTCTTTGATCGGCTAACGCTTTGTCCACTGACCACAATACAGAACGACAGGTGCGTCCCTTTTCACGCCTTTGAGATATTTATTAGATAGAACTATTCATGAATGTTAAGAAGAGCGCAATATGGCCGATTTGTATCTTCTTAGCGCTAATCTCGTTTGTGATGTATTTTTAGTATTAAGTATTTCGTAATCCACTTGCTGTGCTTAGACTACAGACAAAAGGTTTCCTGCAAAACCTCATCAAATTAATCAACTTCATACTTATTAAGGGCTGTATTGTTCTAACAGCTTGACATGCAGATTACAGCAGATAGAGGTCCAGGTTTCGAATCCCGTGCAAAAAGTTTGCGAACGTTAGCAAGTTTTAGACTAAAAAATTTCAGTACCAGCCGTAAGTATGTAAAAAAACGTTATCTCCTTACCTTGGAAAACACGGAAAGTCGCTGGTCGCAGTCACCGCCAAATTGAGGGCAGTAAATGTGGTGAGTGAATTTTGAAATTGTGTCTTGACTTTGAATAACATATGTTTTACCTCCTATAAAAAAGTACACAATGCCGCTAAAAAATATCAACTAGGAATTTTATTGTATTTCTTGCGACAACAAATTCTGTAATTGGCCAAAAAATAATATTTTATATACTATGTCTAAGTGAGCGTACATAATATGACATCTAGATAGACCTTTCCAACTTAATATTAAATATCTTGTAATCAATATCTTGTTTCAAACATTCAATATTTACATTTCGTCACATTGTTTAGAAAAACATACTACTTAAAACTCACCTAACACATTACTTGAAAATCGAATAAATTTATGTCAAACGTAATTTTTCTTTCCATTTGAAAATTTTGATAGCACTTATCAGCTCTTACGTAGTACTTCCGTAACGATATTGTTAATACTTTTATCTGTAACATGACATATGCCCTGGCAAAATCAATACCACACATGAATCCAATGTCAAAGTAAAGAAATATTATGTATATAGATTGATCATATTCAAGAACTAATTAAACAATAAATATTAGGTAGATATTTACTGTTTATAGCGTATATGTGAAATTTCCTTTAGATTGATTGTGCTATACTTCTTATTTCTTGACTATCTATCATTTTATACCGTTCAGTTTTCCAAAGATTTTTAAAATTAAAAAAATATTATTTACATACGTTGTTAATTATGTTTAGTTACATTTTTTAATCTCAAGTGCAATATAAAAGGCGGTAGCTTTTAGAATCTAAATACCTATGTTCTGGGTACTTTCCTTTGCTTTTGTTCATTTATTCGAACCAAGTTCAATCTACTTCATACGCAAAGCGATGAATTAGCGATTCTAGATCGTACTTCAAAGATTATCCTTCTTATCACAATTACTTAAGGATTTAAAAATAGCGCCGCAACGATACAACAATGCCAAAGAAATTCGTATCAAATATTTATTATCATTGTTAACGCAACCGCATCTTGCCAGTTGGAAAGCAGCCGCAGTGTGCCACCAAGTTGAATCCAATCTGCACGTACGACATAAAATAACATACGATTAACGAGCCGTGCTAATTCCCCGACTACAGACTCGTGAGTACCGAACTTTTTTCATTAAAAACTCTTTTTACGATAAAAAAAAATTAACTGTCACGATGACATCTGATTTTCGAATGTCAACGAACGTCCATTGTTTTGATTTGGCGCGAAATTACGTTGCAATATTTTAGATAAAGTGTGTAGCTAAATGTAGTACAGTTTTTAACTTTCCATTCGAAATCATGATGTAGAATTACTGATGTATTTATTATATATTGTTAAATGTTAATTATTATTGCTACACATTGTTAGTGATACGTATTCAATGACGTCACACAAAGATGTTACTGTTAATGATATCAAAAACGAACGTCTGAATAATATGTTATGTAAGTAATATGTTTTATACTATTTAAATAAGAAATCATTAACGAGCCATAGCATTTATAAAATCTGGTCTATAATGTAAATAAATTCGTTACATAATTATACGAATGTTTAAAAAAATGCACTGACAAGTGATAACGCCAATAAGTTTTTAAGTACCTACTTGATGGAAACATTTTTAATTACCCAATTTGTAATAACTAACCTAACTTCAATATTTTCCTTAGGAATTTGAGGGTTGAATTATTATTCACGAACTAAACTAAGCTAGAAAAAGTAACTTATACCTACCTCCTCCTACCATACTTATATTCTTCAAAAACATCCATAAATTGCCAGCTGATTCGAATCACGACGTATTACATGATAACGAAAAGATAGAGTTAAAAATTTAAAAACAGCTGTTTATTTATCAACTTATTTTGAATTTCTCTCAATACAATAACAATACAATACAATAATATTTAAAATACTAAAGTTAAGGGTGACGACAACAAATAACTTAAATTCTATTTTATTTTAATATTATTTTATCTGTATTTAACTGTAGATTTGAATCTGGAACATATTGTAATAACACTGGCTGGATTGAAATCCACGACACAATACATTGAGGCGTTTTTAATCAAAAAATTTTAAGTTTATTTAACTTTTCTTTTAATATCTCTAATTTTTAAATATTAAAACGTTTATTTTTCCCTACTACATTACATTAATTGCTTAGTCTTTCCGCCTGCATTTTGTCGACGCACGTTTTACGAAATTGACCTTTTACTAAACTGAACCGGATTCACGAAAGGCGTTACAACTTTTTCACCCGACTCCGAATAAGGAGAAGTATGTTTTAAGTGCGAGGGTAAAAACTGTCAAGATTTAAGAGGGTTCATTTGCCTTTTGACAGTTATTTTTTTAAATTACTTGTTGTCATTTTTTGAAAACTACCTTTTGGGTTCGAATCCCGCAGCAAACACACTTTGCCTGGAAAATAACCAATGCGGCCATAATAATTTGTCGAACGCGAATGCGAGTTTGATTTTCATATCAATATGTACTATTAATTACTGTTTTCTGTAGTTAGTATAATGTGATGTATAAATCAAACAATTTCACGGTTTAATACTCGTTTATTAGTTAAACTAATTTGAAAATTATTTTTACTGTTTGACGTTTTCAAATCTTTGCAGCAGCCGTGGTCAGGGTTTAATATATTGCGTTTTAATCCGTTAAAGTATTTTTTATTTATATGTTGACTACTCGCGTAAATTACAGGCGGTATATATCGTGATGTATCTAAATATACAATTAAATAACACACTGTAACGGTTTGAAACGCGTAATAGTTAAATTTGTTAACTCATTTTACCCGACGTTTCGGATGCTTTGTAGCAACTAATATATTTCGCTTTTAAACGCGTATAAACATACGCAACTACTGACAACAATTGTGCAACTACTATACCAGTCAATTAATTATAATAATTTCGTTGATTAGAAACTAAACGTCAAAACTAATGACATGTAAAATTATTATTACCCTCATTAATGCGCGTGCGTTAATATGCCGTTTAAATTAAACGCCACATGCAACACCACTTTGGTTGCATTGCGTCAATTGAGAATGGTCCTAGATTCGAAGAATCGGAATAAATGTAGGCCGCTAACAAATTCAACGAAATTCGCTCGTCCAATGTTTTAGCAAATAGACAACGGTTTATGGGTTCGACTTCCAACCGGTAAACGTGTTTTCTAAACAGTGTAATTATTTTCTTAACAAACCTGGTAAACCTTGAAATTTAATGGTTAGGAAGAAATATCGAAATTCCGTCTAGACCAGGAACAACCTCAGATCAGGCGTAAAGGGTAAACCCGTGTTTCGATAAGTCTGTGGATTTCAAAATGACAAGAACCAAAATTGGTAGACAACGGGTCTGAATTGTTTGTTAAAGATAAATAACGTGCGTTTCTAAATACGCAAAAATAAAACTGAGTTGATCAATCTATTAATTTATTCTATTATCTGTATTTCTTGTCTCTGGTCTAGAACTAGAAACATTATGGCCTTGAAATTTCGGTTATGATGTCAAACATTAAATAATAATCTACTTATCATCTCCATATTGGTATTACAACGCGGAAATGTAAAAAAGTCCTGTTTGAAACCAGTTTTAAATTGATTTTTTAACATTTTATAAAACATTCCTAGCTATTATTATTTACAGCTTCAATATGATTATTATTATTTTATTATGAGGGTTTTTTTATTTAAATTAATGGCAACACTTTTAAGGGGCATATGAATTTGTTTTAATAAAAATATTGCCAACCTTACGTATTTTACGCGAGCGGTGCACATAATTGTTAACGTTTGAAAATGGGACACATATTCTTCATTGGATTTTAGATGCTTTACAGCAACGATGGATGGCACCACCATACCACGATGTTGCCATAACAACTTGTATTAGAATCAAATAAACTGCGTTTTAAACCATTAACTGTTTTACTGTTTGGTAAACGTATGAATGAAACCCGATGATCTTAGTAATAAAATCGCTTTATTATGATTTGTCCTGCAAATCCTGCAAAATTAATTTGTACGCAGTACTATCAGGTCAGGTCCATGAGAAAATAAGGAATAAATACAAATACAGATAATTAAATGGAAATGCTTTATATTTTGTAAACATGTTTATTGTTTACATTACTTTACGCGGTAATGTACATAGACAATTAGAAATAATAGCTACACATACGAGAAGAACTACGTCACGACAATTTCTTAGCAAATAAACAATGAAATGAACGCGATGGTCCTGAGTTCGAATATCGCTGTAGCCTGATAATAATTGGTCAGGTAGGGCACTGACATGTGAATATAGATTAATGAAAAAAATGCGCTGCGAAAACGGTTAGAAAAAAGTATATAATATTATATACATATATTGAAAGACTGGTTATTATAATATGTCACACGTTTAAGATTGACCTGCAAGAACAACGGCACGTACCCGATGTCGTGGGTAACAGCTAAAATACATAAAGATGTAAAGTAGTTTGCAAAAATATTTTTTTAAGCCTAAATTAACTTTTCCACGCGGACGAAGACGCTGTCACAGCTTGTATTTTAGATGTGCAAAATGTTATTCCAATCTGGTTAGCATTATAATCTAGAGGCTGCTAGATCAGCTGGTCACTCGCGGACAGAAATAATATATAAATAGTAACGCTATACATATATTACGACACGCTCGTAAAATTTAAATCTTATTATCACAATGGAAAGTTATGAATATAGTTTTTACTTGTATAATAAATACACGCGACGGTGATAACATTACATCAATTATTTATTTTTATTTACGTCACTTGATAAGCGCAACGTGAATGCCTTTTTCGTGTTCAGTGTGTCTTTTGTGACCTTAAGTTATATTTCTTAGTTGTATAAATTAAGGTACAAATGTATACTATAATTTTACTTAAAAACAATTAAATCCCAATGTCGAACACATTTTATAGTTTGCTTATTTTTTGTAGTAACATTATGCAACTTATAACTTGCCTAGATGAATTAAATTAGATTTTCCATTCGAATACATCTAGTCAATGTTCTATACACCATAAAAAGTGCTTTTAAATTAGATTGTACATATTCAGATTAGCGGCCTAAAAACAGACTTTAATTTATCTAATTATTAATTTAATTATAAGAATAATTATAGTAAGTAGTAAACGATAGTGCATATATGCGTTACCCCAATGTGACGCATCGGGCAGACAAATGTCTGTCCGTTTCAGTAGTCAATTTTATTAACAGACAAGTTGAGAGTGTTTCTTGCCTCATCTACATCCCGGAATTCGAACCCAGGACCCATTGTATTAAATGCAATACATGGCAACGTTTTTCCATTGCGCCACTCCACATTACTATATACTATAGATAATAGATATGTGTCAAACCGCGGTTACATACTCTGTAATCTATACTCCCCTCTATCTTCCTGGTTCCTGATAATACGTCACAGCTCTAAAATAGATCAGGGTCGACTTGACGCACTAACGGTTACTGCGTAAGTGATCTTGTTTGGTTTCTACCATTTATAGGCTGTTAGCAATTACTGGTTGCGATACACTTGTTCGCGATTAAGAAAGAGCCACTTGGATTTTGGGTCATAGACTAGATGTGGCATTAAAAAAATTCTAATCATCTACGGCGCAAAAATGTTTTACAATATTTCGAATTTAGGACATTCGATGGTAAATTCTGCGTGTTCATTTGTTTTTATTCAAATATTATTTTTTCTATCAACCCTGTGCCATTCTTGTTGTCCCTCGCTCATATTATGAGACTGCTAAAGGGCAGAGAAGCCTAACTGCAATTTTATGACTTGAGTTATTGATATTTTCATTACACATTACATAATAAATAACAGTTTAAAACGCGAAATAGAATTAAGACCTACCAAGTGTGGTAGTGACTCCAGTACGGTTTGGCGGGCTTTAACGACGACAATATAGTACTGTTAACCGGGGTTGACGTTTTAACATGCTCTAGAACGCACAGGGGTCATGTTACCTCTTCCTAAACTTCGGAAAACTAAGAGTTTTTATAAAAATTACAATTATCGGAGTAACATCACCCAACCTAGGCTTCGAACTCTTATAATACGCAAACGAGTGCACTAACCACTAAACCTACGAGGCAGTTATATAATGTCGCCGTAGGTAGATCTTGTAAGTTTATTTCAAGGTAAAACACAATCTAATCGATTTCTATTTTTGTTTAGGTGTTCGTAATATTATGTCACATTCAAACAAGTATATGTCATGATGACTTTTGCTAATTCGGTTTTTTTTGATAGATGAGCATAGATAAGCCTGGAGTTCACTTGATGGAAGGCGAAATACCCCAGCCATATAACATCTAAACAAGATGCGCTGTCTGCCTTTGTCTTTTGGATATTCGGAAATCCACAGATTCAAACCGAAACGCGATTATACTTCACCGCTGTTTCATTTGTTGACGGTCGTTTGTGACCCGGACGGAATTTGGATGTTCCTACCACCCATTCCATACATATCTACTAAGTATACTACTAGACTAAGCCTAACAGGCTCTTAAAATTATAAATCGATTACCCGTTGATTATTAGCCATACCGCCACCGAGCCCGTCAAATTCTAATATTCTTCTTTCTATTCATATGAATGTAAATTCAATCATTGTGATGGTCCTGAATTAGTTATTACATATACATATTGTTTACTTATCTTGAAACAATTTGCGATATAGTATTACATACCCCGCTTTATTTCAGTATGGGTAGTTTACGAATTTGTATTGTAAATTAGTTGAACATTAGATATATTATATATGGGCATAACAGTTTTATAGGAAAATTGATAAAATCGTTATCAGTGAAACCTTCGCTTTACTTGATTTCTTGAAATAAAATAATAATATTATGATTGTCAAGATGAATGTTTGTCAATAACATTTTATCGCAAGTACTACATTTATCGTCATTTAAATGAAAAATCGTAAGCGATTTAATAACTCCGATTTATTAAATTTTATATATTACTAACAAGCAAATGAGACTTGCATTACATAAATTTAATTTTAAAAAAAAACGACACGGACTAGACTTGCTAATTCAATTCTTTAGAGCCGCAGCACGGAACGCTTTTGATGCCGGTTCAAGTCTTGCTTGTGTCGCATTTTTTTTGCAATGTAGATTTTTTTTATATAGTGACATCACACACAAAAATAGTAAATATTTCAAATGACACATTCGTCAGATAATAATATACCTCCTTACATTAAATGTAAAATAATTATTGTATATTGTATATATTTGGTGACGCACTACCTAAATTTATTTCTTAAATAAAAAAACGCAACACTTTTGATCATTACCTTTTTATACTGTCTATAATTTACGACAAGAAGTTGCACATTTAAATATAATTGCGACTTTAACGGGTTAAAACGCATATATTCAGTTCAACTTATTTCCACAATTGACCTAATTAATTAAATTGCGACTTAATTTCATGACAATAATTTTCATATATAAAGTTTAACTAATGATGCAATGCGTTTTCATAAATAAAAGCAATTTATTTAAACAGAGTATAGAAGACTAGTCATACAAAACCGCAATAAAATTATTCAAACAACCACCATCTTTAAACCTTCGTAAAACATAATAAGCATGTTATAATCTTTTACCTAAGTACTTAATTTGTATGTATACGAAATCTGATATTTCAGTCATACATAAAAATCAACAAATAACACAACACAACACAACTAATATTGAATTGAGCACGACATTTATTAAGTACTAGATGTGTCAGCGACTTTGTCCGCGTAGAATAGTTGTTTTGAGCATCCAAATTATTTTTTTGCAAACCTCTTTATTAATATAAGCTGCCCACGATGCATGCCATTGGTCGCGTCCCGTCGCTCGCGAACCGTTACATAGTAAACCTTAAATGATACACTTATAGTGTCATAGACATTATTTCAGATCATTTGTCTTGAGCATTTAACGCTATATCTTCGCTTCTATTAGTCACAGCGCGACGTTTTATAGCCAATAGCGTTCTTCGATAAATGCTCTTACCAACACAAAAAGGACTTCCTGAGATTAGTGCGTTCAAAAATACAAACGAACTCTTCAGCTTTATCTACTAAAAAGATGTTTATTTGCAGCTATAATTTTGTCAGGCGTTTTTAACGTTTCGTAGGATATTTAAATACTTGTTTCCGTCGAGACTAGTTACAGAACATTGTAAATATTTATTTAGTAAAACATAGCCTAAGAATAAATAAAATTATTCTCTTTGAAAAAAATTATGCGAAAATTGACAGAGATGCTTTTTCAAATTTCATTTGTATACGTCCATTAGCTGTAGGTTCTGGTATCTTTGATGTTATATTCATTTTAATAAATATGATATAATTTATGTTGAAATATACGTAATTGTTAATAATATACAGATTATGTCATAAAATCGATTTCTTGTTTCAGATAATCGGCAAAATAGGAAATTATTCAAGATGGTGTATTTTATCACGAGGATATCGAAAAGGTTCGTATATGTTTATACTATTTATCTAATCAGATATTTATCATTCCTATTATTAGATCTAAAAATGTTAGTCCAACCTATTTTATGACAATATTCACTATTTTATTAATAGAGTTTATGTAACTCGTTTGCGAAATAAAAACGTTATGAATTTTAGCTTTAATATAAATTTAGGTTACCCACCCAGTAAGAATAATTGTTTAAAACAAAGCGTTTCTTATTTATAGATATGTTATAAAAGAGTTACATGTTCAAAAGTCACGTATATAAACAATATTATTTATTAAATACAACTATAAATGTTGAGGTCACGGGTCGCGTTATCTCGGAGGCGCGCCTGCCAGACCTTATTGCATCAGACGTAGCTCTGTGACGCTTATCTGTGGTTATTACTTCGGCAACAGATTGTTAACACCATAGTCTAGAAATCGTTTATGGTTTGTATAACTTTGCAATAACAATAACAATTGTATTAAGATATCACCATCGTAAAATGATAATAAAAATCCGTTCAGTTAGTTACAGTTACTAATTAATACAACAAAGGTTTTCATGTTTGAAAACTTTAATATGTTTGTAATATATAAAATAAAAAATATTTAGATTGAAAAAATACTACGACACGGACGGGAATTGAACCAGCATCTACGGTTTATATATATTTTCATAGAGATCTTTATAATTATATAGAACTAGATCATAGTGATCTCTAGACATACTAATTTATTAAAATAACTGCCCCCTGCGTAGGTTTGCCTAATTGTGTTAATGGAACCTTGAGTTCCCCGGTATTGATATCAAAGGGAAATATAATAGTTTTGACATATAGTACACTAGGACAAGGCACGAAAGTCTGATTACTTTCTTACTGATGTAATCTGATTACTACTTTACTTGTCTATAAATAAATTCGATCAGTTAAAGAGACGGCCTTTTGTAACATAGGCACGGTTTGAATAAAATCCTATGACCCAGGTACCCGAAGACAAAGAATTAAGAAAAACCGTTTTGCTTAGAAACACATTCGTTAGGCTTTTATTCAAAAATAATTGTTTAATTAAACGTATCGTTTAGCACTTGACCTTCTTATTATCTTAAATATAAACACTTCTTTTTTTAACATATAAAAGTAAATTGTCATTATATACCTTCTTTTTCTTTATATTTGACTTTGAAAAGTTTTACTGGAAATCAATTCTTATATCTATACACTAATCTATGTAATTTCAATATATTGTCTAAATTTATCTTTAATTTGAAAATGATAAAAAATATTCGTTTTACACACATTATTATGTTATCAAGCTCTTTGACCTATAAGTCACACCCACTGATTAGTAATATCATAGTTATTTTCCTTGATTCTTCGCGATATTGGGGACATACCTCGAAAACAAAAACTTATATTCTATTGATAAATTGTAACAAAATTCGGGTTCCACAGATTCTACTGTCGCGTTAAGAAATTTGTATATATTATCTGTATTGTTTAAAGAGAAAAGTGAATTGTCACGTTTGGACTTTGGCGGGAATTAGAACCTGGTTAATTACTCGGTTTTTTTTGTTGGCATTATGTAAGTTAGTTTGTTTCCTTCCAACCCCTTCTATATTTCTTTGTCCATATTGAATTAATTAAAAACGTGAACGTCAACCAAGCTTCCTTATTTCAACTAGACCTGTTACTCTCGGCCTTGACTACAACAGGTGACAGGACAAAGATATTCTTTACTAGATATAAAACATAATAAAACATTATGTTACTAATATTATCCTCAGAAAATCCTCTGCTCAATACATCGTCCTGTAATGCAACACACTAAGCGCGCTATTTCCTGGATTCAATTCCTTAGAAAAAATAAAAAATATATAAAACTAGAAAATATCTTTAAACAAATAAGTTATCGATCGAAGTCAAATACTATCTTTCTTATTTTGCTAATGAAAATTTTTAATGAAATGTCACAAAAGCTATTAAAAAGATAGTATGCTTATTTTTAAATTAGAAGTCAAACCAGGGACAGTTCAGTCCGTTATTCTGTGTATAAAAAGTTAGTTAGGAAGTATAACAGAATAAATACGTTCAATTTAAAATCTATTAATATTGTGGATGTAAATTAAATAAAACTAAAAAGTCTTACAGATGTTGAATAAAAGTAAGGATCTAAGAGAATTCATTTTATATTAATAATAAGTACAGTCTATACAATTGTTCGATTATCTACTTTAAATGTCATTGGGACCAGTAGTTGTAGGATGTATAAATACATATACCTATATAGTGAAATTCTATTTTATGTAGCGAATTTTTCCACCAAAACACAAGTGCCCCGCCCCAACTGGTTTAATCGGCGACCGGTCCGGTCAAAACTAGTTGCTAACCCAACAAGTAGGGTTGGCACTCTTCCCAATAATAAACGACATGGCATTTTTCGAAAATAATTCAAATCCTTGCAAGGAAATTAATACATAAATCGAAACTCTGCAGTGCCCAAAAAAACATATTGATCATCTCTGCACCTGTTTAAAAAAACACTTTTTAAAATTGATCAAATGATTGATATCTCGGTAAACATGACGTTTAATAGGGGGAAGGGGGGGAAGAAAAAAAAAAAAAAGGGGAAAAAAAAGGAAAAAGGTTTTTATAAAAATGTGAACAACTCGCGTAAACTATAGACAGTATCTTGAATGGTTATTTTCGTTTGTCTTATGGTTGGGGCACTAGTTAGTTTGGTATCTGTAGACTGGAAGTATAAAATCACCCCTTTGTCAAGATAAGCCACTTCCATCATAACTAATTTAGTTTTACTGGAAAAGCTATAGTAGATTAATACTGGTTGAAACGAATTTCGAGGTGTTTTTTGACAGTCTCTTTGTTTCAGTAGGTATCAACGTTATATGTATAAACAATTATCTTTTGAAAAGTCATGTTCGTTTATCATAAATATATTATATTGCATTACTTGACAGATTTTTATTGTACCTACCAGACAGGAGAATTCCAATAATTTACATCATCTTCACAACTCGTGATCTATAGTAGGTATATCTAACTTATCACAAAGAAGATTTAACTTGAAAAATTGGAGCTCAACATTTATTTTGTTTAAAAAACAACGATCAACGATCGAACTAATTGTTATTATGGAACTCTTCTAAGCAACCCGAAAAGAAAGAACTACTAACTATGATTGTTGACATCCAATCAAATAATGTGAAGATATCATCGAAATAAATAATCATACAAACAACACATTCTCTGGCGTTAGTAAATTAATCTCAACCTACAAAATGTCAGTAGCGTACCCTTCGGACTTTGAACATTCACATTTTGATTTGTGATGCAATGCAGCCTCTATCTTGCCAGTATGACGCAATGCGCAGCCCTATTTCATTGCCATGTTTTTAATAAAGATGGCACTTAAATCTACAAAAAAATGTTAAGTTATTTTATTAACATTTAATCACCTTAAATAACCTCGAATTTTTAAAACAACGAGGTACTTTCAATAGATTTAATAGAAGCTTTGACACTAAAATTACTCTTGCAAAACTAGACTAGACAAGACTTAGGCTTAATAAATAAAGTAAAGTAAAAACAATAGTGTTAATATTTATCTCGTCAACGGCGTAAAAATATATTATCTTAGTACTTAGCTTGATAAAAATTTCTAAGCTGTTTAACTACTAAAATATAAAAAAGTGTTAAGTTCATTGAAAAGGCTTTCTAATTTAAAATAATTATTGAACATTTACTACAAAGTAAGCGAAGAAATGTTAGACAAACAAGTCGTTTACATCAATAAGTAACATCTTGTCGGCATTAGATCTAATTTGTTTTGATTGTTATGATGTCAGTGCATACAATACGCCGCGCATGCGTATGACGTGGGTCGACCTGTCGTCAGAGACGCGCCCGCGATTTCGACCAATCAGCGCGCGCGTAGCTGCCGTTCCTTTGTTAAAAGCGCGCGCGCGCAATACTCAATACCATTCCTCGTTTGAAATCCCATTAAATTAAATGGGTGATAGAAAAAAGTTTTACAAGTGGCTAATATTTCTATTCAGCTTCAGTAATTTGGATACTATTTAATTATACCTAATTTCAAAGTAGTGTTAATTCTTAGAAAATTTTTGTATATTTAAATCTATGAAATTCTTGAAAATGCTGCACTTCAAAGCTATCCCCGAGGACTACATAAGGAAAACGGCCGAGTAAGTTTTTCCTTTTTTTATAGTCTTTAATTTTTTTCACTTAATAAGGAACACGATGATTCGCAATTATCCTTTATTTTACCACAATAATGTTTAATGATTATTTATTAGTTGTAATCCAGTGCCAACGGCATTTAATTAAATTAAGATGTATTAATAATTAATGAATTATACATATTACTATATTGAAAAAAAAAAACTAATTGAAGCTGTGATGTTTTTCTCACAAAATTTCATAAATTCTCTAACCCATAAATTACATAATAAATAATTATGGTAATGTAATACATACATTTTTTATTTTATTTTAAATAACATACAATCCTGTATGTTATACAATACGTCATGCCGAAGTCGAATTTTTTTTCAATTTATTTTCGATTCTTAAACATAAAATATATAAAACAACAGAACTAAATTCGAATGAAGCTACATAAACAAAATATGTATTTGTATAATTATTACAAATTCGTCTTACCGTGGATTGCTTTATAAAGGAGTTCAGTTGCTTTGTCGAGATCTTCTTTGTCTGTAAATATAGACATAACATCTTACTCATTGTGTAAAATCCTGCGAATGTTAAATCTTTGTCTTCAGAAACTCAAACATGCTACATTCTTATATAAGAAAACTAACATTAACTGTAACGATTAGAAAACATTTCAAGCAGATTTTTACTTTTTGAAACCTACGACACGGTAATAATTGCTAGGCCTCATACCAAAGATATACTCGAATTTTACATTTAATTACTTAAAAAACAATTAGGACACCTAAATTTTGTTCTAAGTGCATATAATATACAAAAGATGTTTTAATTGCGATGCAAAGTTCGTCATGTCAAAAGATAATTATTATCTAATAATAATTATGATAAATGGTATATATAAGGACTTCCTTTAATCGATAAACTATAGATACGGGTCTAAGTCCAAGGAATACAGAAATATGATGGCAGAACAGACTCAATATATTACCAATAGAATTATAACTTTGACATTTAATTAAATTTTTAAACAACTATGTCACAAATACTTGCCAAATATTTGTCTAATGTGTTATATTATTACGAATATGTATAAGCAATAAATAACATGATTTCGTTAACTTTAAATAACATATTTCGCGTTAAAGTAAAGTTAGGGTTTTCGAAGATGTAAAAAGTAATAACAGAGAGTAGTGTGACATTTTTAAAAATAATATTTAATGGCCTGGTAACGAGACCTTTAAGCCTTTAAGCCTTTTTGAGTTGTGTGACAATTAGAATAAAAGAGAGAAGTACAGAGATACAAGACTTAAATAGAAACAAAGAATTGTGTTTCCATGTCTGTACTGTTTGAAACCACACTATTTAAAGCAGAAAATATATAAATAAATAAATGCTGAATATATTAATGAACTATAAATATAATTTGGATTTGAGAATTATAAGAATGTTTGTATTTTTATAAGATTCGTATTTCATTCTGCCCCATTATCCATCTGGGTTTTCTTTACAGACAGTGAATGTACGGACTATTGAAATACGAAATAGTTTAGGAGTGATAAGCACCCATTCTCTCTTGTTCATTTTATAATGTCGATTTGGTATTTGTCATCAGATTCGCGCAGGTAGCAATCAACTGCAGCCGCGCGGCTCACCAGACCGCCCTCCGCGGTAACAAGCTAAGTCCGCAAGTCGCTGCTCTGACTCCAAAGGTACTCATCAGCAATTTTTTTTTAAATCAATTACATTTTTAAGCATGTTTGACTCAGTATATAATAACTGGACAATAAATATACAAATTAACCGTCGATGTAGCCAACTGGTTATAAATGTCTTAAATTCTGGGTACATTGCGTTTAGCGCGAGATGTCCTGGGTTCGAATTCCAGGATAATAATAGATTGGTTCATTTTGTAGTGCTTAATTCCTTGTCTGTATTAGAAGCGACCATTAAAACGGACACAGAAATGTGTTCGTTCCATGCCCCTCGTGGGTACGGAATTTCACTTTACTAAATATGTATAAGAGATTGATTAATTTGTAATGTTGAAATTACATTGAGCGCACGGTGTATGTATCGATAGGTTAAAAAAAAATCGACAGTGACATGCACAGAAGCTCAATTTGATCCGTGGCTCCGTGCTATGTGGGTGCGACTACGATGCGGGTTCAATCCCACCCGTGTAGTATTTTTTAAATTTCTAATAAGGCCATTCCAAGAACCAAGGAAATCGAAAATCACAATAGGTCAACAGCAAGTAGGAAACTCACAGAAGATTTTGATCTTCGATTGACATTTTTACGTGCAGCTTTGGTGAATTGACAAAAACATCACTCCATGAAATATGTATTTAATATCACACTGGAGATTATCTGTAATGGTAGAATATGTTTATAATGAAATAAAAATAAAATCTTAGGTCAGGGCATTTGTGGAGCGCAGTGCCGCCCTCTGTGAACCGGAGCATGTCCACGTCTGCGACGGGTCTGAGGCTGAAGCCAGTGCGCTGCTGCAGCTCATGCAAAATCAGGGCACCCTTAAAGCTCTGCCCAAGTATGATAACTGGTAGGTACAGCAGAACACTCTAAGACTAAATAAAAGAAAAACTCAACGAAAAATGTAGAGGCTCTAAAATAAATATGTATTATATTTAAAGAGAATTTATAAAGACCTTACGAAATACGATGAGTTTAATGTAATTTTTTTTTTATATTAATTATCTATCTATATACTATATGTATTTTTATGTAGATCGATTTATTAACACAGTATGTACGTAGCTATTAAATTTTTTCTTTACAATGCTTTTTTTTAATTTTATCCTTTTTCTCTCTCTCTTTCTCTTTCTCTTATAAAGAGGTTGCTTCACTATTTATGTATGAAAATTATCAATATATTGTACATGTAAATACTGTCTGCTGCTTCGCGAGTAGCACACATTTAAATAAAATACTAAAGGTTCAAAACGCAATATATAGGTAAGTATAATTGTCACGCGATATATAATAGTTATTTCAACCACGGCCCAACGTGTCTACCCGTGACCACGGCTGCTGCAAAGCATCCGAAACGTCGGGCCGTAGTTAAAATAATTTCCAAACAAGTTTAAATCGTTAAAGTGTTTTTATTTAAAATACATAATACATAATTTCTTTCTAGTAAAATAATTTTCTCATCGTCCCCAAAATTTCCCAATTTCCCCCACAGTTGGCTAGCTCGCACAGACCCAGTGGACGTAGCGAGAGTCGAATCTCGCACCTACATTTGCTCGGAGCATGAAAGAGACGTGGTGCCAGTCGCACGCGCAGGTCAGAAGAGTGCTCTTGGGAACTACATCACACCGCCAGATTACGATAAGGCTGTAGCCGAAAGGTTCCCAGGATGTATGAGAGGTAAGGTTATCAATTTTTACTTTACGATTCCCACAGCTGGGATTTGGTCCTGTTATAATCGCCCTTAACCTTATAAGTGGGTTAAAAACAATACACGGTTCAAGTCCTGCCCGAGTTGAAAATGTTTTCAATTTATTTTCGATTTTCAAATTACATAGAGCCTCCATGTGCAATAACATGTAAAAAATAGTAAAGTTTTCAAACGTTATAACTTTGTAATTTCATCTTCAATGATTTCTTAAGCTGCGAAGCATAAGACGTTGAATCTTAATACGCAAGTGTTAAGGTTGAAATTACATTGCGCGAGAGATGTATGTATCAATAAACTAAACTTGTGAATAAAACTGGGGGGGGGATCATGACGCCCCAAATGTAGGTGGTCCACTAATAGAACATATTGATTTTATTTACAAATGATTATGTGTTAAGTTCACGACTTGGTTGCCTTCCTGGCGCCGAACCTGGATCCGCCCTTGACTGATGCATCAAGAAAGTAGTCTATTTTATTAAATTGGTTTAGCCTTTTGTGAAAGCAAGAAATGAAGAAGTATTTTCTGCAGTGCTACTCCTTTCCTTTCCATTCTTACAAACTTTTATTAATATGGCATTACACAGTGAAGTGTTTAAGGAATATTAAGTCTGTTTTTCTCCTTTTAGGACGCACAATGTATGTTATACCATTCTCGATGGGACCCGTTGGTTCTCCACTATCCAAGATCGGCGTGGAGGTCACCGACTCCCCGTACGTGGTTTACTCTATGAGGGTCATGACAAGAATAGGTTTGTAGTTGTCAAATTATTATTTTTTTCCTTAATGATCCACAACAAACGGCCTGTTTCCATTTAAAAGTAAATTTAGGATATAAATTAGCTGTCAGTAACTTAAATAAAACACTTTTAACGGTTTAAAAATCGGAATAGTTAACTTATTTATAGATCGCTGTAATAAATGCATTTTAAACCGTAAAATGCGTTTTATTTAAATAAATTGACTACATTTCTTCACCACAAAGATAGAGAAAAGATAAGGGAGGTTCTTCTTAAACTTTAAATCAATACCATTGTATCAAAACACATACCTTACATACTTAGTTTGCCTTGATTATAAATAACTTTTCCATCAGGAGCGTCTGTGCTGGAGGCACTCCGTAAAGATGAGCACTTCGTCCGGTGTCTGCACTCCGTGGGCCGTTCGGATAGCCCAACTGTGGGATGGCCTTGCGATCCAGCCCGGACCATCATCCTCCACCGGCCTGCAGATAACGAAATCGTTAGCTACGGTTCGTACAATTATATATGTTACCATTAGAAAATACTGGACATAAATAAAACGTTGATAGAAGTGCGGCCTAGTTTTGGGGGGACTAGAAATGTATATTTTGGAAGAATCATAAAGAATTTAGATTTTTCGGGTATAGGGTTAATTTCAAACTAAGAAAATTAAAGTCATGTCGATTTCTATTTTATAATTTATGCCATTTAAATAAAACAATCTTTTTTCATCTTGCCTCCTAAAATTAGTTTAAATGATTCTTTTACGTATTCCTTAACGTTAGTCAACCATTTTCTATAGAATGTACAATTATATATATGATTACAGGTAGTGGCTACGGAGGCAACAGTCTGTTGGGAAAGAAGTGCTTCGCCCTTCGTCTGGGGTCCGTGTTGGCGAGGCGTGAAGGCTGGCTGGCTGAACACATGCTGGTAATTAAAATAGCATATTAGCTGACTCGGCAAACGTTGTTTTCTTTGCAAAATTAATATTAATACAACTCTAATAAATAATTGCTAATAACGCGTTAATTTCGACCAAATTTGATTACGATATATACGTTCTTGCGCGTTAATCTTCGAAGATTGATACTAGCACGGATTTTTTTTTAGATCACTGAAAGAGGAATTTGCAACCGTCAAATTGCACGTTTTTCTCACTTTAAATTAATTGTAAAAATATTTGTTCAATTCGAAATACTTAGTAGTTCATGAGATTAGCGCATTCAAACAAACAAACAAAATGTTCAGTTTTATATATTAGTATAGATAGATATATGTGGTAAAGATGCACCACGTGCCGTAACGCGTTACGTAACGAAACGGTTCATATTACGACCATCGCAAGTTACCACTTCAACGTGCAAATGTTTGAATGAGAGTTTCTTGCACAGATTGTAGGCGTGACAGATCCGAAAGGTCGCAAGCGGTACATCGCCGCCGCGTTCCCATCAGCTTGCGGAAAGACGAACCTCGCGATGATGACTCCTACTCTACCTGGGTACAAAGTGGAGTGTGTGGGTGACGACATCGCGTGGATGAAGTTCGACAAACATGGCGTCTTGAGAGCCATCAACCCGGAAAATGGTTTCTTCGGTGTTGCTCCAGGTAAAGTTTTACCATGTTAGCCCCATCATAATAAGAAATATATATAACAAATCACTGCTTATAATTGACTGGTTTTTAGCTATTTTCAGCAAAGTAATGTTAGGTTTTAAGAAATAATAAACGTTCTTTTTCGTATTTACATTACAGACACACTTAACATGAATAACGATGTTAAGTGTGTCTGTGTAAGGTGTCTGGTTTATAATTTTCATAATTTGGAATAAGATTTATTTTTAAATTTTTAGTGATTTCAGCTATCTCTGAATACGTTGTACACGGTAGTAGGTAGTTCTTTTGTTGAAATGAAACACTTTAACGGTTTAAAACGCGATATATTTAAGTTAAACTTGATTAAAAATTATTTTTAACTACGGCCCGACATTTCGGATGCTTTGCAGCAGCCGTGGTCACGGGGAGTTCTTTTGTACTAACACAAACGCGTTTCCGTTTGCATCATTCTTACACATAAAAAATGTAATAATTTTAACATAAGACAATATTGTAAAGGCACTTCAAGTTCAACGAACCCCATCGCCATGGCATCAGTATTCCAAAACACAGTATTCACTAACGTCGCCGAGACCAATGATGGCGGTGTGTGGTGGGAGGGAATGGGAGACGCCCCGGAAGGCATTACTGACTGGAAGGGAAAGCCCTGGGACAAGACTATGAAGATCCCGGCCGCACATCCTAACTCAAGGTAAAGACAAGGAAAAACCAAAAAGTGACTGCCATCTGACTTTTAATTTTACTAAAATTGTTAGGTCTTGTGATCGTTACTTAAAAGTTTTTAAAAGTAAATTTTTAATTCAAACTTCTTTTAGATTCTGCACACCAGCAAGCAACTGTCCCATCATAGACGGAGACTGGGAGAGCTCTGAAGGAGTACCAATATCCGCCATATTACTGGGCGGGCGGCGCCCAGCCGGTGTACCACTAGTCGTCGAAGCTAGAGACTGGGCCCACGGCGTCTTCCTTGGCGCTTCCATGAGATCTGAGGCGACTGCTGCTGCAGAGCACGCTGTAAGTAATTAACAGAGATATCAAAAACACCCGATGTCGCATAGCCTAGTACTTAATAAACGTCATTTGATCAACCCGATGGGTTGCAACGCAGGCGCAGATTTATATAAAACTACCCACCTTATTATTTTCTATTTGAGCTACCGATAGAAGATCGGGTGATCAGTCTACACTATCAGCAGACCATTTCACTCATTCCTTGCAGAGGACTTTGGGTTATCCAACTCTTACTATGTACCTTTAAACATTTAGGTTTGCTTGCAGAATCTTATTACTTAATTAACTTCCTTTAAGATTAAGCTAACTTCCATCCATCCATTACCTCATAGATCAATAAATAATATAAATCTTGTTTATTTGTCCACAGAGCAAAGTTGTAATGCACGACCCATTCGCAATGAGACCATTCTTCGGCTACAACTTCGGGGAGTATTTGAGACATTGGCTGTCGATGCCACAAGCTGGAAGGCAGATGCCCAAGATATTCCATGTTAACTGGTTCAGGAAGGATCAGCAGGTAAGGACCAACAGTCTGTAGACTTTTTGGGGTTCACACTCAGAAACTCTTGTGACTCAAATATATGCCTAAATATATATTTTGGCTATTTACATAAAGACAAGATAGATCGTCAGTGCGTCATTGTTTGGATGTGCTATGGCTAGGATGTTTCTTCTTCAATGAAGTGAATCCACGCGTGTCTATCATAAAAAAAGATAATAAAGTCTTACAAACTCTTAATTGTGTTCAATAATTTTAGATTGATTGAATTTAAATGCCTTTTCGAAAATTACTACTATATTATAACTCGTTAAGTCGATCATAGTGATCGTTTATACACCTCCACATTCTCTAATTCCCAGGGCAAATTCCTCTGGCCCGGTTTCGGTGACAACTCTCGCGTCTTGGACTGGGTACTTCGCAGATGTGCTGAAGAGCCTTGCCACACCGAGACACCTTTGGGTTACGTGCCTAAGGACGATGCCCTGGACACCAGCAACCTTGGAAATATCAACATGAAGGAACTCTTCAGCATTCCGAAGGACTTCTGGTTACAGGAGGTAATAACATGAATACCATGTTGTAATGATATTTTAGAATACCTTTTTGATAAACTGTAGAGTATGAGATCAGAACTTTCTAAACTTAAGTTCAATCGCGTTTCGGTTGTAGTCTTTGGATTTCCGAATATAGAAAATACGTCGACAGCGCATTTGGTTAAGATATGATTCGGCTTAGAAATTTTGCAATCCAACTAATCATATACATGCTTGTATATTCTCCTCTATCATGTAAAAATCAAGCTTTTAAACTAAATAATAAGAATTAGTACCCTATAAATGTGGAAAAGCTTTATGTATATGAAAATTATAATAAAGATTTTTGCTTTCAGGCTAACGCAATAGAAAAATACTTCAAGGAAGAAGTAGGCGAAGATTTACCAAACGAAATGTGGGACCAACTGATGATCCTCAAGAAGAATATTCAGAAATCATAGACTACTAATGCCAAAGACTTAAACTTTTTCAATATTACACAGCTAATCAATAAAAAAAACAATCTTGCTTTCATCTGTCACTTCGATATAGCTATAATTTTGACATAATAATGTGAATGTTATTGTATGTAATAAATAAGATATATAATTTGTAGGTACCGATTTATAGTTAGTATCAACTACTAAGTGCGATCATGACAAATAAACCTCTTTCTAATTTCTAGTCTCCTTATAACTATTTCCTGGCAACACTATGAACGAAATAAAATATGGCTGTGTTAGCTTTTAAGAAACAATTGTTAGATATAAGTCACGTTATGTATAAAAATATTTGTATTCATACTTAAAGAGGTCTTTTATTATCATACCGCATTAGTTAAAAATTGATGCCACAAAAATTATAGCAAGCGTCTTGATAATCAAATTTTACATCAGGAAGGAGTAAAAAATAAAAATACTATATTGTAAAAGCTATTTTTATATTAATATTAAGTTGCATATATAAACATTAATTCATATGTTTGGCTGAGAACACTCGAACGCCATTTTGTGTCGACGCACGCGCATGTTTCGTTAACAAAGCGTTTACGTTTAACTTCTCGGTTGCGTATGATCTGTATAAAAATTTAAAATAATAAGAACATATTTCAACAAAGAAAAATCGATTATCTTATAAAGATAACAGTTAAATTAGTAGTTGAGTATTTTTTTACATTTTTCAATAGATTTAATAGAAGCTTTGACACTAAAATTACTCTTGCAAAACTAGACTAGACTAGACTTAGGCTTAGTAAATAAAGTAAAGTAAAAACAATAGTGTTAATATTTATCTCGTCAACGGCGTAAAAATATATTTTCTTAGTACTTATGTTGATAAAAATTTCTGAGCTGCTTAACTACTCAAATATAAAAAAGTGTTAAGTTCATTGTATAAAGAAAGGCTTTCTAATTTAAAATAATTATTGAACATTTACTACAAAGTAAGCGAAGAAATGTTAGACAAACAAGTCGTTTACATCAATAAGTAACATCTTGTCGGCATTAGATCTAATTTGTTTTGATTGTTATGATGTCAGTGCATACAATACGCCGCGCATGCGTATGACGTGGGTCGACCTGTCGTCAGAGACGCGCCCGCGATTTCGACCAATCAGCGCGCGCGTAGCTGCCGTTCCTTTGTTAAAAGCGCGCGCGCGCAATACTCAATACCATTCCTCGTTTGAAATCCCATTAAATTAAATGGGTGATAGAAAAAAGTTTTACAAGTGGCTAATATTTCTATTCAGCTTCAGTAATTTGGATACTATTTAATTATACCTAATTTCAAAGTAGTGTTAATTCTTAGAAAATTTTTGTATATTTAAATCTATGAAATTCTTGAAAATGCTGCACTTCAAAGCTATCCCCGAGGACTACATAAGGAAAACGGCCGAGTAAGTTTTTCCTTTTTTTATAGTCTTTAATTTTTTTCACTTAATAAGGAACACGATGATTCGCAATTATCCTTTATTTTACCACAATAATGTTTAATGATTATTTATTAGATGTAATCCAGTGCCAACGGCATTTAATTAAATTAAAATGTATTAATAATTAATAAATTATACATATTACTTTATTGAAAAAAAAACTAATTGAAGCTGTGATGTTTTTCTCACAAAATTTCATAAATTCCCTAACCCATAAATTACATAATAAATAATTATGGTAATGTAATACATACATTTTTTATTTTATTTTAAAAAACATACAATCCTGTATGTTATACAATATGTCATGCCGAAGTCGAATTTTTTTAAAATTTATTTTCAATTCTTAAACATACAATATATAAAAAAACAGAACTAAATTCGAATGAAGCTACATAAACAAAATATGTATTTGTATAAAAATACTGTCTATAGTTTACGCGAGTAGTACACATTTAAATAAAACACTTTAACGGTTTAGCATCCGAAACGTCGGGCCGAAGTTAAAAATAATTTTCAAATAAGTTTAACTAATATATCGCGTTTTAAACCGTTAAAGTGTTTTATTTAAATATGTATTTGTATAATTATTACGAATTCATCTTACGGTGGATTGCTTTATAAAGGAGTTCAGTTGCTTTGTCGAGATCTTCTTTGTCTGTAAATATAGACATAACATCTTACTCATTGTGTAAAATCCTGCGAATGTTAAATCTTTGTCTTCAGAAACTCAAACATGCTACATTCTTATATAAGAAAACTAACATTAACTGTAACGATTAGAAAACATTTCGAGCATATTTTTACTTTTTGAAACCACACGGTAATCAATGTTTGGCCTCATACCAAAGATGTACTCGAATTTTACAATTAGGACACCTAAATTTTGTTCTAAGTGCATATAATATATAAAAGATGTTTTAATTGCGATGCATAGTTCGTCATGTCAAAAGATAATTATTATCTAATAATAATTATGATAAATGGTATATATAAGGACTTCCTTTAATCGATAAACTATAGATACGGGTCTAAGTCCAAGGAATACAGAAATATGATGGCAGAACAGACTCAATATATTACCAATAGAATTATAACTTTGACATTTAATTAAATTTTTAAACAACTATGTCACAAATACTTGCCAAATATTTGTCTAATGTGTTATATTATTACGAATATGTATAAGCAATAAATAACATGATTTCGTTAACTTTAAATAACATATTTCGCGTTAAAGTAAAGTTAGGGTTTTCGAAGATGTAAAAAGTAATAACAGAGAGTAGTGTGACATTTTTAAAAATAATATTTAATGGCCTGGTAACGAGACCTTTAAGCCTTTAAGCCTTTTTGAGTTGTGTGACAATTAGAATAAAAGAGAGAAGTACAGAGATACAAGACTTAAATAGAAACAAAGAATTGTGTTTCCATGTCTGTACTGTTTGAAACCACACTATTTAAAGCAGAAAATATATAAATAAATAAATGCTGAATATATTAATGAACTATAAATATAATTTGGATTTGAGAATTATAAGAATGTTTGTATTTTTATAAGATTCGTATTTCATTCTGCCCCATTATCCATCTGGGTTTTCTTTACAGACAGTGAATGTACGGACTATTGAAATACGAAATAGGTTTAGGAGTGATAAGCACCCATTCTCTCTTGTTCATTTTATAATGTCGATTTGGTATTTGTCATCAGATTCGCGCAGGTAGCAATCAACTGCAGCCGCGCGGCTCACCAGACCGCCCTCCGCGGTAACAAGCTAAGTCCGCAAGTCGCTGCTCTGACTCCAAAGGTACTCATCAGCAATTTTTTTTTAAATCAATTACATTTTTAAGCATGTTTGACTCAGTATATAATAACTGGACAATAAATATACAAATTAACCGTCGATGTAGCCAACTGGTTATAAATGTCTTAAATTCTGGGTACATTGCGTTTAGCGCGAGATGTCCTGGGTTCGAATTCCAGGATAATAATAGATTGGTTCATTTTGTAGTGCTTAATTCCTTGTCTGTATTAGAAGCGACCATTAAAACGGACACAGAAATGTGTTCGTTCCATGCCCCTCGTGGGTACGGAATTTCACTTTACTAAATATGTATAAGAGATTGATTAATTTGTAATGTTGAAATTACATTGAGCGCACGGTGTATGTATCGATAGGTTAAAAAAAAATCGACAGTGACATGCACAGAAGCTCAATTTGATCCGTGGCTCCGTGCTATGTGGGTGCGACTACGATGCGGGTTCAATCCCACCCGTGTAGTATTTTTTAAATTTCTAATAAGGCCATTCCAAGAACCAAGGAAATCGAAAATCACAATAGGTCAACAGCAAGTAGGAAACTCACAGAAGATTTTGATCTTCGATTGACATTTTTACGTGCAGCTTTGGTGAATTGACAAAAACATCACTCCATGAAATATGTATTTAATATCACACTGGAGATTATCTGTAATGGTAGAATATGTTTATAATGAAATAAAAATAAAATCTTAGGTCAGGGCATTTGTGGAGCGCAGTGCCGCCCTCTGTGAACCGGAGCATGTCCACGTCTGCGACGGGTCTGAGGCTGAAGCCAGTGCGCTGCTGCAGCTCATGCAAAATCAGGGCACCCTTAAAGCTCTGCCCAAGTATGATAACTGGTAGGTACAGCAGAACACTCTAAGACTAAATAAAAAGAAAAACTCAACGAAAAATGTAGAGGCTCTAAAATAAATATGTATTATATTTAAAGAGAATTTATAAAGACCTTACGAAATACGATGAGTTTAATGTAATTTTTTTTTTATATTAATTATCTATCTATATACTATATGTATTTTTATGTAGATCGATTTATTAACACAGTATGTACGTAGCTATTAAATTTTTTCTTTACAATGCTTTTTTTTAATTTTATCCTTTTTCTCTCTCTCTTTCTCTTTCTCTTATAAAGAGGTTGCTTCACTATTTATGTATGAAAATTATCAATATATTGTACATGTAAATACTGTCTGCTGCTTCGCGAGTAGCACACATTTAAATAAAATACTAAAGGTTCAAAACGCAATATATAGGTAAGTATAATTGTCACGCGATATATAATAGTTATTTCAACCACGGCCCAACGTGTCTACCCGTGACCACGGCTGCTGCAAAGCATCCGAAACGTCGGGCCGTAGTTAAAATAATTTCCAAACAAGTTTAAATCGTTAAAGTGTTTTTATTTAAAATACATAATACATAATTTCTTTCTAGTAAAATAATTTTCTCATCGTCCCCAAAATTTCCCAATTTCCCCCACAGTTGGCTAGCTCGCACAGACCCAGTGGCCGTAGCGAGAGTCGAATCTCGCACCTACATTTGCTCGGAGCATGAAAGAGACGTGGTGCCAGTCGCACGCGCAGGTCAGAAGAGTGCTCTTGGGAACTACATCACACCGCCAGATTACGATAAGGCTGTAGCCGAAAGGTTCCCAGGATGTATGAGAGGTAAGGTTATCAATTTTTACTTTACGATTCCCACAGCTGGGATTT